GGGCTCTGTGGTGCAGGGGGTTGGCTCAGCTGCCTCCACAAGGAGAGCAGAACAGAGCAGCCCCAACTAGACAGAAGGGAGTTTGGGAACTCCTGGCATTTTTTGGCAGAGAGGGCTTGTGCCAGCAGTTGGGGTGCTGTAAATCTTTGCCAGCAAAGGCTCCCACTTCAGCACTGCCCTCCCTGGTTGTGTGGGAGGGAAGTGCTCCTCTCAGGGTCTTGTCTGCAGCAACTGGCATCCTCCTCTGCTCAGCAAGCTCCTGGCACTGCCAACCAGCAGTGTCTTGGCCACTGTGGAGCTGGTTTGAGGGATGGGACAGAAGTCTTAAGGAGAGAGGGGTGCAAGGTGGCCCCGGGCTCGGCCACACACCGCTGTAGGGCAGGAGCTAGGAAGGAATGGTGTGGGGGCACCCGCTCTGCTCCGCCATGCCATGCTGTCCCAGGGCCAGGGGGCAGGCAGAAGAGTGACCCTGGGCAGGTGCCTGTCATGGTTTGTTTTCTCGGTGTAGTCACGTGTTCCACGAAAGGTGTGGAAAGGGCACCAAAATGGAGCCAAAGTTCTCTGCAGAGACAAGGCCAAGCACCAGCCAACCTTGTCCGCACAGCATCCCAAAACCCACAGGAAACATGTGAGGTGGTGGCTCAGGAACCAAGCAGGGTCTGGGCAAGTCTAGGGACACCACCGTCCTGGTTGGAGTGGTGCAAGTCCTCCTCCCCACGGGGTCTGCCCTGTGCCTCAGAGCAAAACCCGAGAGAGAAGTGAGAGCCCCTGGCAGCGACGACATTGGATTCTGCTCTGTTCTGTTTACAGTTTAGTATTTAAGGTTTTATAAATGTAAATATATTTTGTATATTTTTCTATGAGAAGCACTTCATAGGGGAAAGCACTTATGACGAGGCTTTTTAAACAGTGGTATTATCCTAATTTAAGAGAATCTCTTTTTAATGATTTTTTTATTTTCATAGGACGGTTCTAGGAAATACCTGGCTGGACACAGTCTGAGCCTTTCTCCAGAGGGGGGGGTTGCTTTAGTTTTGTTTTCTACTCTTGTTCTGCCTTTTTGACTTCAGTAACTGTCTCCAGGAGGGTTGGCTGGACCTTAAACTGTACTTGCCCCTAAGGACAGGGGCAGGAGGGAGAGCTGCCCAGTGTGGGAGAAGTTTGGCTCTGTGGGAGGACAGTCTGTGCTCCGGGCAGGAGGTGTGACTCCGCCTTGTCGTGCACTAGCATCTGGCGAGGGTTTAAAAAGGAAAAGCGAGACAGAATGAGAGACGTGACCCTTGATGCCTCTTTTCTGGGAGGCCAGTCTGGGGCACGCGCCTCCTCCTTCAGCCTCTCCCTCAAAGGCAGATGGGTTATTCCGTGCAGAAGGGAAAGCAGGGAGCACTCTTGCTTTCCAGAGCTGTTCCTGTGGGGTAGGTCAGCGGCCATTCCAGGAGCTGCTGGGTCCAAGGGCTTCTCTGAACCGGCACCGGCAGTTGGCGGGGAAGGGACTGGGAACACCTGCTGACTCCCCAGGTCTCTTAAAGGGGCACCCCGAATCTGCACCTCTCGGGTCTTGAGAATTCTTCTTCTGCCCTGAGAAGGAAAAACAGCACTTGGAGGGGCGCGACCTGCCAGTTTCCTTTCGTTATTGCACTGTGTGAGGATAATTTGGTGGTAACTGTTGAAAGCAAAGTCAAGTGACGCTGCATTTGTTACTGAGATGATTTGATGCACTGACAGTTTGGGAACGCACATACCTTGAGGAGTCCGGAGAGTGCCTGCTCTGGGGATCTGGGCCCCGTGGCCCCGGGCATGGCTGCTCTCGGCCCTTTTCCTTCCCTGTTTCTGATGCAGGGTGAGGGCTCAGCCCTCCTTGTGGCAAAGCCCATGAATTTATCCCAGAGCTCAGCTCTGCCGCGCTGCTGCCGCCTCCCGATGTCCTGGCTGCGGGAGGAGGCTCCACTGGGAAGCGCTGCCCAGAGCCACCCCACGTGGGGAGAAGTGGGAAGGAGGGTCGGGGGGAGCCCCCCAAGATCCAAGTGCCAGGCATCCTCCTCCCGCCAGGACCAGCCAAGCCGGCGGGCTGCCCGCTTTGCTGCTATTCCCGTCGCGGCTGCCTTGGCAGGAGCCGCTGTGGCCAGTGAAACTGTCTGTACCCCCAGGGAGCTGTGCCCGGGCCCGTGGGGCGAGCGGCAGCAGGGCCGGGGCAGCCACGGCCGCGGGGACTCAGCCGCCTGCCCGCCCTCGCCCCGGCTGGTCGGGAGCACCCAACTCCCCATGTATGAATGTATATTTTATAAGGACTGACACAGATCATGGTATCTGAAAATACTAAAAAAGGAACTTTAGGGCGTTTATTTTACTTTGTACAAAGCGACATGGTTTTTTTTTTAAAGGAGAAGCGGGTCATTGCAAAGGGCTGGGTATCTTTTCTTTCTGGTTTTCTTTCATTTCAAAGCAATACCAGGTTCTTCAGCAGGACGGTCTGTGCAGAATCATGCCATTCACCCATACACTGGTCCACTCTCGACACTCGCAAATTTTTTTTTATAACTATAAATACAGTATATATAGGAACTAATATAGTAATGCACCGTGTAATGAAGCCTAGTTCAGTATCGGTCCATGGCTTTTAATTCTCTTAACACTATAGATAAGGATTGTGTTACAGTTGCTCACGGCACTGGGAAAGCCTTGCTGCGCATTCCCGCTGGCAGCCAGGGCAGGGAGCCAGGAGTGGGTGGCTCGGCCTTTCCCGGCCCTTCTTGTTACAGTCAGTACTTGTACAACTTGGTTTCTTCCTTTCCTTCCTCTCGTTTTGGTTATGAATGTTGGGGTACCACCTGCATATAGGGAAAATGTGCTCTGTGCTTTCCTGGTATCTTTTTAACGAGGTACAGTAGCTTCGTCTATCAGCCGAGAACTATACTTGTGGTGTTTCTTTTATTGAACTTACAGTCTCTTTAGTAACTACAGGTAGGTGAATAATTGTTAAAAAAAAGAAAAAAAGAAAAAAAAAAGCTCTGCAAAGGCAAGGTTATGTTCTAGAAATACATTTCTTGACAACTTATCATGTATAACAAAACGGTTTTTTTTCTTGTGTTCTTCCAAGCTTCTGGTTGTTTTTGTTGTTTTTGGTTTTTTTTTTTTAAAAAAAGAGGAAACGTGTCTAAAGTACATCAGTGTTAACTCCCTGCCACAGGGAAGAAGGAAATACTTTAATAGTTTTAAAAAATGCTGAAAGCTCTGCAAAAGACTGAATGTAAAAATAAAAAGTGTACATAGTTGTAAAAATACAAAAAAACAAAGGAGTTTTTAAACATGTTTATTTTCTATGCACTTTTTTTTATTTAAGTGATAGTTTAATTAATAAACATGTCAAGTTTATTGCTGCAGAGGGCTGCTCTCCATTTCTTCTTGAAGATTGAGAAGCTGCTTCTTCTCCAGGAAGTTCGCTGGGGACAAGAGCCCCTGGCCAGCACCGAGGGTTGCACAGCGTGCTCGGCGAGGAGCCCTCGGCTCCAGTGCACATGGGGGGCACTGGCTGGGTGGTGGGGCCTCACGCTTGGGCTGTGATAGGATGGGGTAGGGTGAGGTGGGGCTGGCAGTGTGAACATTAACCAACCCACAGCCTGCCCCTGGAACCCCACACAGGCCTCGGTGGCACAGAGGGCACCATGGCCACAGCGAACGACAGGGCTGTCCTGCAGACCATCTTTAACCCCAGCACCCCTTTTGGGGACATCCCAGGGTTGGATGAGGAGGAGGAGGACGTCGAGTTGGAAGGTGAGGCGACGCTGCACTGGGTTCTCACTGGAATTAGTGGAGGGGTCCCCGTGGGGTGTGCAGGCAGGCAGGGAAGGAGGCTCTGCAGGCTGGGAGCAGCTCCTGCCTGAGGCTGGACCTCACCACCTTTCCCTGTGCCTGTTCCCTCCCTGGACTGGAGGTGTAGGGTGGCAGTTAGGCTTGCACCTCGTGGGGTGTCCTGGTGCCACCACTTCCTAGCCAAGGGCTCCTGTTTGCCACAGTGGAAGCTTTTCCGTTGGAGCTGCTGGAGCAGGTGCGGGACCTGGAGCTGCAGGGGGTTTCTGCGGCCGAGTCAGGAGATGTGAGCACGGCCCTGGAACGATTCAGCGAGGCCATTCGCCTGCTGCCTGAGCGCGCCTCGGGCTACAACAACCGGGCCCAGGCCCTGCGCCTGCGGGGGAACGTGGCAGGTGAGCAGCACAGGAGCGGGCGGTCCCCTGCTATTCCTGTACCCCACCGACGCCTCTCTCCCCCTACCCAGGTGCCCTGCAGGACCTGGACACCGCCATCCGCCTGAGTGGCGGGCGCGGCCGTGCCGCTTGCCAGAGCTTCGTGCAGCGTGGCCTCATCCACCGGCTGCAGGCGCGGGACGAGGACGCCCGGCGGGATTTCGAGCGCGCGGCGCGCCTCGGCAGCGCCTTTGCCCGGCGGCAGCTGGTGCTGCTGAACCCGTACTCGGCGCTCTGCAACCAGATGCTCTGCGAGATGCTGGGGCGGCTGCGCAACCCCGATGGCACCGGGAGCGAGTGAGTGGGCCGGGTAGAGCCGTGCTCCCGAGGTGGCCTAGGCAGGCATGTCCTGGCTGCCGGAGAAGGGTCTTTCTCTGGTGCCAGAGATCCTGTTCCTCCTCCTGGCTGATAGCCGGGGACGTGAAGTACCGATGTGCCTTGCTGTGTTTGTCTTGCTCTGCTCCGCTCCCAATAAACCTCCTCCTGTCCCTGGCACTTGGGCTCTGCTTGCGGCGTTGCGGGCGTTGTGCTGCGATTCCCCACCGCGCACAGCCCCGCTGAGGTGGGTGCCCTCGTGGGTGTGAGGCTGGGCCCCTCAGTTGAAGAAGGGAGATGGGGTGCAGGGGGAGGTGCATCCCCTATCCGGGCTGGGTGGTGTGCGGCCTCTCTCGTGTGCAGCGGGCCTGCCCCGGCGGCTGCGCGCAGCGGTCCCGCTCGGGGGCGGCAGCTGCGGGGCCCGGCGAGAGGGATGGATGAATTCTCGCAGCTCGGCCGGGCCCGCCCCTGCGCCGCATGCACGGCCCTGCGTGCCGGGTCCCAGGCGCAGAGCCGCACTGCAGACCGGGTTGGGCACAGCAGCAGTGATGTCTCAGGTAAGGTGCAGCCGGGCCACAACCTCCGGCCCTGCTGTGCGCTGCAACACCGCGGGCCCCGCGCGGGGACGGCCGCATGTCCCTGCTTCAGCTGCCTCTCTCCTAGCGCTGAGCACGGCTGATATGCCATGAGGCGTCCAAGGGGCTGGCCGGGGGCTGCCCTTGCCCTCCTCCTGCTGCTCGGCCTCCCGGCGCTCTCCTCGGCAGGTGAGGCTGTGGTGGGGTCCGTTGCACAGCTCCGGCAGCAGGACCCCCCTCCCAGCTCTGACGTGCCGTGGGCTCTCCGGCAGGGCTGGGGGAACTGGGCCCCACCATCGACGGGCAGCCGTGGGCAGTGTGCACGCTGCAGGAGGGGGAGAGCCATGCCTTCACCTGCCGGGTCCCCCAGCCAGTGCCCGGTGCCTCACTGGCCTGGTACCTCAACGGTCAGAGGAAGGAAACCAACCTCTCGGCTGCAGGCACTGCCAGCACGCTCACCCTCACTGCCCGGCGCTCTGATCACCAGCTCAACTGCTCCCTGACCGACCTGGCCTCCGGGGAGACCTACAATGCCTCTGTCCTCCTCAACGTGCAGTGTAAGGTCCACAGCACTGGCCTGCTTCAGAGTGGGATGGGGGGAGGGTGTGTGGGGTCCAGCCCAGTAGAGACTGGACACCATAACCTGCATCCATCACAGCCATAGCAGAGGAGCAGCTTATCAGTGCCACACAGACAAGGCAGAAAGTGCTTTGGGACCCTGGCAAGACAAATGCTATTCTGTCTGTGTTGCCCCCATCCCTCCTGCCCATCTCACTGTCTCTGTTTTTTACCCAGATAAGCCAGAGATCCTGCGCGTAGGCGCCCACTACCAGGAGGTTGAGGGCTCTGGCCTCCTCCTGGTGCTCTTTGTGCTGGTGCAAGCCAATCCACCTGCCAGCATCACCTGGGTGAACCAGGATGGGCACGTGATGGCCAACGCCTCCGAGTTCCTCCTCCTGGGTGCCACACGCTACCCAGGGCTGGCCAACCACTCACTCCACATCCATCTCAGCAGCGTGCCTGAGAACTTCTCTGTCAGTGCTGCCAACAGCGTGGGCATCACCACCGCCTCGCTCCTACCCACAGGTAGCTGTTGTAGGGGTGGGCACAGCACACCGGCTGTGTGGAGGGGTGCTGAGGGGGCTGCACTGCCTGTACAGGTCTGCTGGATGCCCGTGTGGAGCTGCCACTCCTGGGTGTTGCCATTGGAGCAGCACTGGCCCTGGCCACCCTGCTCAGCCTGGGCTCCTGTGCTGCCTGCCTGGCGTGCCGCTCACCCAAGCCAGTGCCAGGCCCAGGGCAAGCAGAAGGGAGCAGCCCGCCCAGCCGGTGCTCCCGTGGCAGTTGCTCTGAGCACCCACAACCCCAGGGCACACGCCTGCCCCGCCAGACCCGGTCCCTGCCGCCTGACGTGCACCTCAGCGACCTCGCACAGGAGGATGAAGGTAAAACCCCTACGTACCAGCACAGCAAGGCACACAGGGCCACAGGTGCTGTCTTAGCGAGGGATAGATGTCCTGGCTCTTGCTCCTTTTCTGCCCTGCAGCTTCCCCCAAGGATGTGGGAGCTGGTGCCAGGGGAGAAGATAGTGCCCTGCCAGGGCTGGAGAACTGCTTTGTCCTCAACAAGCTTGGTGAGGGGGTGCAGGTGGGCGAGTGGCCCCCAAAAGCTGTGCTGTGGGATATTGAGCTCCGTGGTTGCCCCAAAAGGCAATGAGCTGTTTGTCCTACAGGCTTTGTCCAGCTCCCAGTGTCTGGGCGCATCTACAAAGTGCCCAGTGTAAGCAGCGATGAGATCTGGCTGTGAGTCGCAGTGCCCATGAGCCAGATGCCCGGCCCCAGGTACGTACCAGCCCCTGGAGCAGGGCAGCCAAGGGTGCCAGGGAGGCCGTTCTGGGAGGTGGGCGCTGAGCAGCCCTGGCTCTGTGCTACACTGCGCGCTGCAGGGCTCAGGAACTGTGCTGTCAGCCAAGGCATGTTTTTATGTAGCCCATTAACTTTACCAATAGACTGTTAAAATGCATCAAAGCTCTTTATAGCCAGGCTCTAGCACTGTGATTCCTCCCAGGGTAAAGCCACGCACCAGCTTTGCTTTAGCAGGTTTGTGACTCGCTTGCTGCATGATCCTCTCCGCCCCTGCCCCTGCTGCTGTGACAGATGGGTGGGCAGGCAGTAGGACAGGGGCTGGGGAGAGTCATTCCAACAGCAATAAACTAAACTCGAGCGTCTGTGTGGTGCTGCGCAGGTTATTTCTGCGTTGGGAGGAGATAAAGGGCTCGAGAATAGGAAAAAGGGGCTCAGTAATAAGGGGTAGAGAGATTCAAGATCCCCAGGTCAGACTAGGAACACCCTGGGCAGATCTGTGTTGTGTCTGAGCGTGGAATTTATTCCTGTTTGCTCCACCCTTGCAGCGTGTGCTCAAGGAACCTCCACTCTGCAGCACCTACAGCCTGACACTAGGAAAGGCTGGTTTAATGCTGAAGTCCTTGGGAACAAGTCAAAACCAGCCATTAGGCAGCTTCTGCAATAAAAATGAGTCAAGTCCTACTCTCCAAACACAGAACAGCCCAGCATTGTCTCCAAGACCCAAGGAGGCTTTTGATGTGCTGTGTGACATCTCACAGCCTGCTCTGGGCACATCTTGGTGTCCAGCAGCAGACAGTGATCCAGGAGATGAGGGTTTAATGTAAAGCTTCAGGTAAAGCTCACCACCTCTGCCTCCGCCGCTTGTGAGGGGGGGTTGGATGGTGGGCTCCTGCCTTTCTGCCCATCAGCCAAGGGCTTGAAGTGCTGCAGGGAAAAGAATGTGCTCGTGCAAATAATCCGGCTCCTGTTGCTCGCACTACACGCATCTGAACGCACTGGTCACATCGGCTGTGTGTGAGGTGTGTGTAAGCTGTGTGCTCAGCAGTGCCCCGAGGAAACATGCTCTGGCTTGTGCTGGCCTGTTGAACAACATAGCGCCCCAGCAGTGCAGCCAAGCTCCCTGCGTCAGGCAGAGGCACCAGGGACAGGAGCAGCTGTGAACACGTTCCCAGGGCCCACCAGCCTTTTGCACATACCCACTGCTCCACAAAGCCAAATAGGAGCTAGGCAATGCTGCCAGCTGGGTGAGCAGCACCTGGCTGGAGCTGCCTACCTGCGAGTTCTTGAACTCCGAGAAGAGGGAGAAGAGGACATGCAGCGGCTGAATCCGGCTCTTGTACACGGGGATGTCCAGAATGGCTATGGGCAAGAGCAGCAGCATGTGAGGGCACCTGGGCTGCACCCCTGTCAGGAAGAGCTGAGCTCCCCAGTGACCACCATCACTTGGGCTTCTGCGCACCAAGGACTGCAGCCCCCTGCGGTACAAGAGCCACTTCCCACTGAGGCAATGATCCCAACTGCTCGGGGCTGAGCCTCCAGCTAAAGCCCTCTGGCTCTCAATGAGAGAGCCAGGCCAGCAGCACGCTGTGCCCCCAGCACAGCCTCCCCAGCTCACCGCAGATCATGTCGATGTATTCGGTGAGGTCACAGCTCATCTCCGCAGTCGGGAGGCCCACCTGGAATAGACGGGGCTGTCAGCTCTGCTCCTGGACTGCAGGAGCCTGGGAGCACATGCAGGTCACTGGAGCAGCAGCTGGAAATTCCAGTGTTGGGCTGCTCCCCAACTTCTGGCAAGGGGGAAGTGGTGAGGAGGAACAAACCCGAGCAGGCTGAGCTGCGGGATGGTGCAGGCACCTGGCTTTCATGGCAGGTGGTTTTTAAGTCTGTGCGTTGAGCTAATTACCGATCACTCAGACAACATACCTTTCCCAGGAGCTCCTCAAATTCCGGTGACCATTCCTGCATCAGGGTCTCAATGTCGGGCATTGGCCTGCCAGGGAAGAGAAAAACAAACTTTAGGATCACATACAACCTTCCACTGCCAGACTGCGGTAAACTGACGTCAGGGATCACCTGGAGTAATGGACTGTGGCAGGAGGTTTGCAGCGGTGCAGTTCACTGATACTTTCAATCCAGCTGTCGATGGCTTTGGGGTTTTTCTCTGCATTCTCCAAACTCTTCACTTTTATCTGCTGCTAAAAACACAAATATAAACCTGGAAGTGTTTGGGGGGCTTTTTGGGAACCTTATGTTCGCTCCTGATGAACCAGGGCTTCTCTCTTTCCCAGCTGCACTTTATCAATGGATTTCTGCAGGCAAAATGCCAAGTAAAACCAGGTATGGACGACCAAAGGGAATTAAAGCATCACCCGAAGGGAACAGACTAAGAGTCTGTACCAAAATTTGCCTGAAGCAAGGCTCAGATCCGTTGCAGTTTAAAGCTATGGATTAAAGCAAAAGGTTCATTTTTGCTGCTTTTAAAGTCAAGGTCTCAGTTGTGCCACAACACTGGAGTCACGGAGACAAGAGTAAAATGGCATGGTTTCACTCCAAGCAGTGTGCAGCAAGTGCAACCTCCCTTTCCCTGACTCACTGTGATGTTGTGCTGCTTGGAGTTCTCTGTCAGCCAAAGGGAGAGCACGGTGGGATCTGACTGCTTGGTTGAGGGCTCATCCAGGACCAGCAGGCCAAGGTTGTCAGGCTTCCAGTCGGGACGGGGAACCTGCAGGAGAAGAGAAACCTCTCTGCAGACTCCAGGGCAGGTTTGTACAGAGCCTCTCTGTGAGCCCCCTCGGATACATGTACTCAGTACAGTGCTGCCTGATCAGCACGTGGTGTTGGAGAAGGGAAAACCCAGCCCTTACTCCAGGTTACCTAAGTGCTCTGTGAGAGGTGGCTGAGCCACCAGGTGTACCTTTCCAGGTCTCTGCCTATTATGTCCAAGAGTGCAGTGACAGACTGGCCCCCTGGGCTGTCCAGGCTGGCCCCCATCATGCCCACCACCCCCTGTGGGGCAGGACAGGGACAGGAACCTAAAGAAACTGTACCTTTAGGAATGCATCAATATCCCCAACGGCGGGAATAAAGTCTGGAATAAAAGGCTGCAGCTTGTGCTCAATCTCTATTGTTTTGGGGGTGTACCTGCAAAAAAACACCAGCACAGCATCTGTGACCGGGAACTGTGCTGCAGTAATTGACACAAAAACCCTTACACTCACCTCTTGATGTATTCAAAGAGGTCTTTGATTTCAGAAGACACTTGCAGGTAGTCAAAATCTGCTGGATTGAAGTCACTAAAGAAAGGAAGAGAATCATGGGCAAAGATTAATGTGTGGCCCTATTTTGCCTTGGACTTGTTGGCCAGCAAAAGCACTTGAGTGAGGGACAGTTGTGATCATACAGCTCCACAAAGAGTTGTCAGCAGCAGAGCTAAGAAAGGGGCTAAGTGCTCTGCACAAAGGAAGACGTTGAGACAACGACGTGGTCAGCAATGGCTTTGGAGCTGAAAACGTTGGAAAAGGAGAAGGATTATCAGGAGCTGAGTGACGTGTTTGAGATGGTCCTTCCCAGGGCTCTGGCTGACCCCTTGGGTTGTTCCAGCCCTGCCTCTCCTGGGTACAGCAAACAGCGCCGGGGACTGGTTCATCACCTGGAGGAACCATCACCCTGGAGCACTGGAGACAGCTGCCTGTACCGATGCCCACGATCCCGCTCATCCTCGCGGGATTAGGGATCAGAGGATCAGCAGAGGGTCCAGTACGGCCCCCAGCAGCCCCGGCCCCAGCTCGTCGAGCCGGTAATGCCGCTCACCCCTCCAGCGCGGCCCCCTGCTCCTCCGAGTCATCCTCCGAATCGCTCTCCGACGAATCCTCTGAGTCCTCATCGTCCTCGTCGTCGTCCTCGCTGGGGGCGGCGGGGTGGGCCACTGCCTCCTCCTGGGCGAGAGAACCACGTTCTCACCGGCTGTCCCAGGGTGTCGCCGGGCCGTCCACGCTCCCGCCCCCTCGTTACCTTCCCGCTGCCGCTACGCTCGCCGATCCCGCGCTCGGAGGCGGCGCCGGACACCGTGGGCCGGCGGGAGCCCCGCGGGCGGCCCGCGCCCCCCGCCCGCGGCGAGCGGGCCCCGGGCTCGGCCTCGGGCAGCTCCAGGCTCTCGTCGTACGGCTGGTTCTCTACCGGGCGGGGCTACGCCGAGAGGCAAAGTCAGATGGGCCCAGCGCCCACATCCACAGCCCGCCGGGTCCCCCCGTGTCCCCCCGTGTCCCCCGTGTCCCACCTCCGCCCTCCCTGTGTCCCTCCGCGCTGCTGCCGTCGCCATGGCAACCCCACCTCCCCGGCCGGCCAGAGCGGCCCCGGCGTGAGCGCGCCCCCTGGCGGCGGGGAGGAGTCGCTGCCCCGCCCCCCCTCCCGTGACGACATTTCCGGGTGCGGACGTGGCGCGGCGCCGCCATCTTCGGGGCCGCCCGGGAACCGGAGGGACCGAGCGCCGCTCCCGCCGCCGCCGCCGCCATGGTAAGGGAAAGGCCTACCCGCCGCGGGGTTCGCGGCAGTCTCTGGGACAGCCCCTGGGCTCGCCGGGCCCGCACGCAGTCCGGCGCTGGAGTCCGCGGCCTAGCGGGACGGAGCGCGGCGCTGCCGCCCGGGGCCGGCGGGGCCGCGGCTGCACGCTCCTGGTGTCTCGGAGCCGCGGTGCCTCCTGAGCCGGCTACTTCACGTTCAGGGTCTCAGGTGTAGGCGTGCGGGCGGTGCCCGCCTGCCCCGCGCTGTGGCCCTGAGAGCTCTATTTTCCCCGTGGCGGTGGTGTCGGGGTCAGCACAGACCCGCCGCGCAAGGCTCCGCCTGCGGCAGGGACTAGTGGTGCCGTGTTGGAGGTTTTTGGGTACTTTCTGTCCGTTTGGGGATTTAAAAGCTCTGAAGTGCAGAACAGTATTATTCTGACAAAGGTAATTAAGAAACTGATCTGTGAGAGGGAGATGTGGGGAGGAAGTCTAGGCAGACAGAGAGGAGAAGGAAGACAAAGTGCAGCTGGCGAGTGATAACTCCTGCGAGCTGCCCGGGAGGCACCCGAGGCCTGTGGGTGATAACCGGGCCTTCATCAACCTGGCTGTGCTGTGCGTGTGGCACTGGGGGACGTGTCACATTTCACAACGTTCTTGTGTGTAGTAAGCTGGGGTAGCCTGATGGAAAAGTCCCTCTCCTGGAGCCTCCCCTAATGCTCCTGATGGTTGTTACACCTTGGTGTGTGTGAAATCGGGAACGGGTTCATTTGCCTGACAGGAGCTCTGAGTTTAAGGTAGGGGTAGAACATGGAATGGAGAGAGAGAAAAACAGAGGTGTCTTTGCTCTTGGCATAGTTGAGTTCCTAGTCACAGAAAAAGATATAAAATCACATTCTGAGTGCATGCAGGTAAGGTATGCTGGGAAGTGATCCTTTTCGTGGGCCGGGCTCACCCGCTCCGCTCGCCCAGGTGCTGTTGGCAGCCGCCGTGTGCACGAAGGCGGGGAAGGCCATCGTGTCCCGGCAGTTCGTGGAGATGACCCGCACCCGCATCGAGGGGCTGCTGGCAGCGTTCCCAAAGTTGATGAACACAGGGAAGCAGCACACGTTCGTGGAGACGGAGAGCGTGCGGTACGTCTACCAGCCCATGGAGAAACTCTACATGGTGCTGATCACCACCAAGAACAGCAACATCCTGGAAGACCTGGAAACACTTCGGCTCTTCTCTAGAGTGGTAAGGATCTGTCACTCGGTGATGTGGCTGTAGCCTGGAACGGCACCATTATGGGGCACCTGTTTCTGAGCTGGTGCTGGAGCACTGCCTGCTTCTACCTGGCAGCTTAGTGTTCCAGAGCTTCCCTTCCTGACTGGGAAGAAAGCTCTGAAGTTTTGGTGGTAGTTTTGAACTCAACATAAGAAATCCTCAGTTGTAGTTCAGCTGGTGAGACCAAAGGACTGATTGTAATTTAGCATTAAATGTTCTCTGTATTATTAACCTAAGACTTATATTCCTTCAAAAAAATAACATGATGTTACAAGTGCAGTGCTACTTTGCAGGGATCCTGAAGAAGCAAGTTTGTGTCTTCATACAATCTACATACAAAAAGTATCTTCAGGAATTCCCAGGGCCCTAGAATGGAGTTGGGCTCCTCTGAGTGTTACAGGGAAGCTGAGAGGTTCCGTAAGGATTTTAGTGTGGAAAAACTAATAATGGCAAAATTTCATCTTGTTTATCAACAGCCTAATGGTACCCAGAGCAGCGGAAGGGTGAACTGGTCTTGGGAGGGTCAGCACTGCTGTGATCTCTGGGATGGTAGGAAGAAAGTGTTTACACAGTACTCTCTGTGGGTACTCCTTTAAAATGTTCTGCCTTGCTAGATCCCTGAATATTGTCGAGCTCTGGAGGAGAATGAGATCTCTGAACACTGCTTTGACCTGATCTTTGCCTTTGATGAAATCGTTGCCCTGGGCTACCGCGAGAACGTAAATCTAGCGCAAATTCGGACCTTCACTGAGATGGACTCGCATGAGGAAAAAGTGTTCCGGGCAGTCCGAGAGGTGAGCACGGACACCTGTGAGCTTGGCACAAGGTGCCATGTTTGGGAAATGCCACCTTTGCTATACAGAGGTGTTCCTCCACCTTGATGGGGGCATACAGTTATTTAGCTTTTCTCTAAGCTTGTATCCTGTATCTATCTAAACCTGTATCTTGTTTCCCTTTTCTTGGCAAGGGGTTTGTGGGCAGCTGCACTTAGTTTCTGTGCAGGGCAAGATTGAGGTTGTAAAGCTCCCTCAGCCTCTTGTCTCTTCTTTCAGACACAGGAACGCGAAGCAAAAGCCGAGATGCGCCGTAAAGCAAAGGAGCTGCAGCAGGCCAGGAGAGATGCAGAGAGACACGGCAAGAAGGCTCCCGGGTTTGGGGGCTTCGGCAGCTCGGCCGTGTCTGGGGGCACGACGGCAGCAATGATCACAGAGACCATCATTGAGACCGAGAAGCCCAAAGTGGCACCAGCACCAGCCAGGTAGGGGGACAGCAGGTGGCAGACGTTCTCTGGAGCCAGCAGTGACTCAATCTGTGTGCCCAAAGAGAGCTTCTAACCTAGTGTCCTCATCTCTGTAACTATCAAGGAGCATTTGTGCCATGTACCACAGTGACACCCCTCGTAGTCTCTGGAATCTTGGATGAGCAATGAGTTTCCCATTTTGTGTGAGAAAAAGAGGTCCCAACTCCTGGTAATACATAGAACGGAATCCAGATCTAAATTATATCTTAGCACACCTGACACGTAAGACAGTAGTTCTGTGTATGTTCTCCCCAAAAAAGGGTACCAAAATGAACGATGTGGTGTTGGGATGGTCAAGTTATAGTACTTGAAGATAACCAGGAAGGAGGAACCTGTTGCAGTGATCTGACTTGGCCTCTGTTTAGACCTTCAGGTCCCAGTAAAGCCTTGAAGCTCGGTGCTAAGGGGAAGGAGGTGGACAACTTTGTGGACAAGCTGAAATCAGAAGGAGAAAATATCATGACTTCTGTAGGCAAGCGCTCTGCGGAAGCAGCCAAAGTTCTCGCTCCTCCTGTTAACATGGAGAGGTGAGTGCTGCCCTTGCTTTGGAAGTGGTCTCCTCACAGCTCTCCCTGTGTGTGGCCCTGGGAGAGAGCCTCCTTGTTCCTTTTAGGCTTTTTCCTGTGCTTCCTTACCTTGTAGCTAAAACGGTAAGCAAAATCTGGGAAAGCATGACAGCAAAAAAGTAAATAACTGGTTTGGTTAGGCATTCTCTTAACTAAAATGGGGTGTCCATCCATTATTGAGCTGAGGTTGGGAATTTTCCTGTGCCTTTTGCCTTCAAGTAGCTGCTGTTTTCCCTGTTTACCTGCCTCATTTTACACGCAGCACTTCAGAACCTTTTAGTACCTGGAGTGCTGTGGCCTGACAGAGGGGATTTGAGTGACCACCATGTTGAGATGCTGCATCAGTGCTGTTTAACTGGAGTCCCATCCCCTGCAGAGCCATATCCGTGGATTCTCCTGCCCCTGAGTTCACCTGTCAGAGCAGCATTAGCCCCCAGAACAGCTGACCATGACGTTCTGTTCAGGAGCCCTTGCTCAGTACACACAGCTTGTCCTTCCTGAGCACTGCTCTCTCTGCTGCCTGGGAGATGAGCGTAGGACTTGAGCTTTTTCTCTGTCTGTCTAGTGTGCACATGAAAATAGAGGAGAAAATCTCCTTGACTTGCGGCCGTGATGGAGGATTGCAGAACATGGAGCTGCATGGCATGATCATGCTGCACATCTCTGATGAAAAGTTTGCACGGATTCGTCTTCATGTAGAAAATGAAGACAAGAGGGGAGTGCAGCTGCAGGTAAAGTCTATCTGGTGTCCCATGCTGTTGAACGTGCTTTTGTTGCTTTCCAGGGGAATAAAAAAGGAATACTTGAACATGTTACTGTCCTGTATTCTCATCCAGTCTTTCTCAGCAAATGCATTGGAAATGGGAGTACTCGGTGCAGGGCTAGTCATGCTCCAAGGATTGAAGTTCACTGGAGAAATGCGGTCTTGGTGCTTGCCATACTGCTGTCGGAACCTTATCTGCCCAGCAGTGCACATTGGCACGCTGGGTGACCTCACTTGGACTTTGCAGCAGCCTAGTTGGTGCCTGTTGGTGTGATGTCAGTTGCAGCTGTGGACTGGGAGTGGGTGAACAAACTTCTGTGCTGAGGGGGAACAAATTTATTCTCTCTGGAGCTGTTTCTTCCTGGGGTCACTTGTCCTGTCACTGCTGTCCCTGGGATGTTTGCTGGAGCATTTGATCACAATTGGCAGTTGCAGCTCAAAGGTTCTTAGGAGATTTGTCCTTCCCTTTTTCAGTGTGACCATATTGATCCCTGGAGGTGGTACTGCTTTGACACACTCTGGCTCACCCCTCGCCAGGGGTTTGTCCGTACATCACTGACTGCAAATGCACTTCCAGCACATCCCATGGGCAAGTTTCTAACAGTGCTCCCCAGGGCGTTGCTTTGAGTGGAAGATGAGGCCAAACCCTGTGCTAACTCCTGCTTTTCTAGTGGAACTTAACAGTGATATGCAGAAATCCTCTGCTTCCAAAAAGCTGCTCTTGCTCACAGTCGTGAAGAGTGTGTTTAAATGAAGTTTGGCTGCTGACACGTATGTGCGTTAAGGTTGCTGAGGGAAGCTGTAGTGTTGCGGTTTCATGCTGTTTTTTCCAACAGCATTAGGTTGATTTTTTTCTTCAAGAGAAACACGTACTGTGGATCTTCAGTATGGTCTTTAGGATTTGAGGAGTTAGGTTGTTCTGTAATTATCAGGCCAGGACATGCATTGCTAGAGTCTCTGGCGCAGTGACTTGTAAGAATGGCAGTGGTGTGGATCCTTCTTGTCAGATCAGCGTTTCCTGGAAGGAATCCCAAGTTGATAAGCAGGTGTGCTCCAGATGGACTTCTGAGCCAGGAGCAAGCCTGATGTGTGTTTTGTCAAGAAAAACACTCTGTGTAGGCCTGTCCTGGTAGAACTTGCATTACCTACAGTTCTGTCCTTGGGCTTACCTACAGCCTAGACATGTGTTCTTCTTTCAGACTCACCCAAATGTGGACAAGAAACTCTTCACTACAGAGTCACAGATCGGTTTGAAGAACCCAGAGAAGTCATTCCCTATTAACAGTGATGTGGGCGTGCTGAAGTGGAGGTTGCAGACCACAGAAGAGTCTTTCATTCCATTGACAAGTGAGTGCGGGTCTGGGAGCTAGGGCAAAAGAGGCTGATGTTTGTGGGCTGCTGGTTTGTATCCACCTTGTGGCAGCTGGGCTGCTTGGAGCATGCACAGTGTGAGACGTTGGAGATCCTGTGTGTATCCAGTGGATAGTGCCTGCCCTCAGCAGTGTGCATTTTTTGAAATGCTCTCAAAAAATCTAGCTTTTCTTAAAGTCAGAATTTCTTGGGGATGACTTGACTGGGCATTTCAAAGTGAAAGCCTGCTCCATGTGGAAGGCCTGTGTGGTTCACACACTGTCTCTGTGCCCTTAGTTAACTGCTGGCCCTCAGAGAGCGGGAACAGTTGTGATGTTAACATTGAATATGAGTTGCAAGAGGAGAGCCTAGAGCTGAACGATGTGATCATCACCATCCCCTTGCCGTAAGTAACGTTCCTTGTCCGGGCATCATTAAAGAGTCTACCTCCTTCTCCTCCCTGGTTCATGGGTCTGGTCAAGCTGACAGGTGTTACGGGCATTTTCTTAGCTCTGTGCAGGGAAGTTATTTTCACTTCTCATTGCCTACTCTAGGTCTGGTGTCGGCGCCCCAGTGATTGGGGAGATTGATGGCGAGTATCGCCACGACAGCCGGAGAAACCTCCTTGAGTGGTGCCTGCCAGTGATAGATGCCAAAAACAAGAGTGGCAGCCTGGAGTTCAGCATAGCAGGGCAGCCAAACGACTTCTTCCCGGTGCAAGTCGCCTTCATTTCCAAAAAGAACTATTGTAACATACAGGTATGGTCACTGCTGGAGCTCCACGAGTGTGAAGTCACTCTTGCCTCAGTCCCTGTCTGACTTACACTGGCTGTGCTGCAGTGGAGCCTTGCTGTCCCACTGGCCATGGCTGAGGGGTTGACATTAACTTGCTACTGAAATAGCTGGATTTGGGAGTGCCAGCAGACAGCATTGGCAGCTGACATCTCCCAGAGCTTGCCTGCAGTTTCAGTTGTGCCTTCGTTCCTCTGAGTAATCATTACCTCCCCTCAGACTTCATTAGAGAATCTATCGGCCTTGGAGCCAAAACATTGCTCGGCATATGACTGTCTGCCCCCACTGAAGTGTAGCCAGCGTTTCACTCCTCAGTGGAGACACAGTTACCATAGAAAATCACTCCCCTCTTTCAGGTTTCCTGGGAACAAAGATCTTTGTTTCAGGGCTGAGTTGTGGTTCGCAGGCACTGGGTCTTTCTGCCCTCATGACCATTCCAGCGTTGGGAAGCACAGCATCACTGTGGTGGGGAGCGGGGTCTGATGCTGAGCTAACGTTGCCTGTTGTCTCCACAGGTTACCAAAGTGACCCAGGTAGACGGGAACAGCCCTGTAAGGTTTTCCACTGAAACCACCTTCCTGGTGGACAAGTACGAAATCCTGTAATGCTAGACGTGGGAAAGTGCAAAGGAAGAAATTTTTTAAATTAAAACAAAAAAAGAGACCGACGTTTATTCTGAATGTTGGGAATGCCGCAGCCCCCTCTGCTAGGACATGTGGCTCTGTCTGCCATCTGCAGCGTTCCTGAGTCACAGACATTTTTGGCAGAGAATTGACATGCTCATGGGGGGAAAGGCCACAAATTTCTTTGGCAGATTTTTACGGGCCGGCAGAAGAGCAAGATCTCCGCAGAGAGCCTGACTTTGATGTGTTCCTTCCTCCCCTGGTGACGCCCGGCGCTCAGCCCCAGAGCCGATCAGACATCGTTCTCTACCCTCCCAAAGCGTCACATGCTGTTCCATTGTTGGTGCTTACATTTTGATTTCTCCTCGTCCTCCAGCTCTCGTTTCCATTGAGGAAAGGAGGCAGTAAGAGAAGGTGTGTTGGGTTGCCTGCTGCTGCTCTGGACCCTTCCATCTGGTGGAAGCTGAGCAAGTTGCCCTTGGCCTCAGAGGTGGGGGGATCATGGCAAGGGCACTGGGTGGGTAAGAGGGACCAGGGGCTTTGGTCCTTTTGTCCCACCCGGTTACTGCCATTCCTCCAGCCCTGCTGTGCTGTGATGGTTCAGCTCCAGGTGCTCTGGCTCCTGCTGCAGGGGGTATAGCTTCCATCTTGTGCTTTGCAAGGCCTTTTTTGGGAGTCTGGGGAGGCAAAACGCTTTTCCTGCCTGGGTGAAAGGAGCTTTTCCTGCCTGGGTAACTACTTGCCTGTTAGAACCTGTCCCAAACCAGTGTTTGTTCAGTGCTGGCAGGGGGAGGAGAAGGAAATGCTGGTTTCCAGGAAACATGGGGGCTGATCTGAGCCGTTCTTCCCCCCACTGCCTCACCAGCATTATTTGCCTCTTCTCACAGACCTGTGCTCCCCTCCCAGCTCATCTCACCTGTGTGGCTGGGGCCTGTCACAAGCATCACCTGCCCCTGGGGGCACACCTCACCTCTGGCCAGAGGGCCTGAGTGTGCATGTGGAAGGCAAAGGCCCTAAAAGTGTATGTACTGTGCTCTGTGAGAGACAGCCAGCCTGTCATGGGCCCCTGGGGTCCTCTGCCAAAGAAGTCCGTGGTCTCTCCTCTGGTGGCAGCACCTGAGAGAGAAATCAACCCTGGTCCTGTCCTGGGAGGGCAAACCCTCCTCCCTAGCAAAGTAGGCAATGAATCCCAGGAACCCGGTCCTGTTCCAGAGCTGCTTCTCTGTATGATTTTTAAAATTGAGTCGAGGTTAGTTCAAGCATCCAAGGAGCTTTTTTTTTTTCTTACATTTGTTGGAGGGTGATATTTAAACCAAGCTGAGATCTCCCCTTTTTGTAACCCCGTATGATCCTGGCCTAGGGAATAGAGCACATTCCATTGTACACAGAGAATACTGAATCTTTAATCAAATAAAGTACTGTCAAAGGAGCTGGATGGGGGTCGTGAGGTCCTTCCGGAGCCGGGACTGCTCAGCCCAGGCCCCGCGGGGGCGGGACGGGGCCGGCACCGGGCGGGGCGGGGATACGGCCGTGGCAGGCGGTGGCGGACAGCGAAGCGGCGGCAGAGGCAGAGGCCGGGAGGGGCTGCCGGTCCAGAGGAGTGAAGGTGAGCGGTTGCCAGGATGAGGTGGGACCCTCCCCTACGCGTGGCCCAGACGGCCCCTGCCTTTGGGAGCCTGTGAGGCTGGTTTCAACGTGTGCTGCCCTGCGGGGACCTTCCCAGTGCTTGGGGGGCAGCTTTGTGACACGGTGGGGGTGAGGGGAAGGGACTTGGCTGCCTTGGCCCCTGTCAGGGCCAGGTGTGGGACTTGTTTGAGGTCCCTGCCCCCCGGGCACTCCGGGAGGGGTGCAAGGAAGGAGCTGCAGGCAGTAAAGTAGGAAAGACCCTGTTAGCCATACAGCTGGTCAGTGCACAATGCTTTAGGAGTGTGTGGGTGGACTGGGAGCTGGATCTGGGTCTGGTGGTCCACATCAATGGTGAGTTTGGTGGTGTGGGAGTCCCCAGAGCAACATAGTCTCTGTGGGAGGCTGGACGAGGCTCTCCCATCCAAATCCTGCTGCAGCCGGAGGGCGGTTGGAGGGGAAGACAGTGCTTGGCCTGAGGCCACCCCTGCTGTCCCTGAATCCTCTTGGGGAGCCTGGGAACAGTGCTGGCCTGGCTGGACCCTGCTCCATGGCTGGACCTTGTTTACTCCAGCTTCCTGCCACGTTCCTGCCACAGCCCCTTCAGCTGCTGCCCGAAAGCCAGAGGAATTTGGCAGCCCCAGAAGGCCCAGCTGCTATGCCGAAGGGCCGCCCTCTCCCCCATTCCTCCAGCTGCCCTGCAAGCTGCCAGCACCAGGCACAGGCTGCAGGGGGGCAGGTCCCCTGGCCAGGCACCACAAGCAGCTCAGACATGAGGCAGCTGCAGGGCAGCACTGCTGGTTGCTCTTTTGGTAATTCCTTGTATGTTTGGGTTTTACTGTGTGGTGCTATGTGTTGGTATGTGTGTGTGTGGGGGCATCAGGGCAGGGCCCCGTGCAGGGGGATGAAGCCACAGGATTGCACAGCAAGGGATCCTTGCTGTCAGCCAGATACCAGAAAGAGGAGATTGCTTGATGCCTGTTTTGAAGAGGGGATGTTCCCCTCTCCCAGCAAACACAGGGCTGGGTGATGAGTTCATGCCAAGGGCTTAATTCAAGACCCACCAAACCTATCCTGTGCTATCGTCTGTGAGATTTTATTAGTGGGAGTCACAGATGCTCCTCACTGACCTGAGTCTCTGGCCTGCAGTTGAGAAGTCGTCATTGGACACAAGAGCGTTTTTAGAAGCAGCTTTCCACTGTGAAGCTTTGAGGGGTCTGGAGCTCATGATGGAGGTTTCCCTGTCTGTGTTGTGGTGCCTGGAGGCACATGCTGATGCTGGAGTTGGTGCTTGAGCTGCAGCAGTGGTTGGGACTGCATATGGTATCACCAGCCTTTGGAGCTGGCTCACCTGGGGAAGCGTTGGGTGCAGGAAAGCAGGGCTGTATGCCCTCCCTGACCTGAGTACATGGTGGGCAACTCCTAGTCTGTAGAGAACCCGAGGTGTGATGCTGGCAGGGCCTCCGCAGGAGCACAGCTGTGCTGCAGTGGTGCGGGAGCACTTCCCGGGAGCAGTGAAATCAGCGGGTGTGGCCGGGATTCCTCGGCTCCCGCTGGAGCTGCCTGGCGGCTGATTTATAGTGGTGTTATTGCCAGGATCGTGGCGTTGTCCTAGCAACCGCAGTGAAGCCCCCACCGCCCCTTCCCTGGGTGGGATGGGGCCGGCTGGGTCTCCTCTGTTCGCTGTGGGTCAGCCTCAGACTTGGAGGTAGCGGCCAGGAGCAGGCTCCTCGCTCCCCTCTGGCTTTGTGCTGGAGACAGGCTCCCCCTTCCCAGCTGCCGCCGAAAGGGCTAGTTGTTTACCGGGGCAGAGGGTGTGGGAAGGGGTGAGCGCGCTCTAAGTGCGGTAGCAGATGGGGAAGCAAGCAGGCAGCCAAGTTGGCCGGAGGCTGCGATGCTCTGCCGTGTGCACCCCTAAGCTCGGCCACTCCAGCTTCCTCCCGTGACTCACCAGGCCACGAGTGGGGAGGAGAGGCCACGGCAAGGAGTGCCATGTGCCTGTCTCATCCATGCTGCATCCCCGGCATGGCTGACACAGCACGGCAGGGTCTGCCAGGCTGTGCTCCCTCGCGAGTGTGCCCTGGCCAGCAGCACACGGTGCAGCTCTGGGGTCTGCCTGCCTGCTGCTGGCAGCTGGCCATACTGATGGGGGGTGAGGCAGAGCGTGCTGTGCCCAGGTTGGGTCTGGGGAGTCAGCAGTAGGTCGGGAGGAGTGGACGCCGGAGCACCCCCTCCCCGTGTGGGCTCGGGGCAGACAGGCAGGTCGCAGCCTGTGGGCAGTGGGGTGCAGGGGCTGTGTGCAGCCCGCCCGGCGTTCGCAGGGCCCCCGCATCGGAGGGGCTAGGCGTCCTCCCAGGTGAGGCTTCTGGCTGCGCCGGGAGGAAGAAAGGGGCTTTTGTCCTCCAGGAGGCTGAGGCTGCGTGGGCAGCCCTGCGCGCGGGGTGCACGGGGACCGTGGGCTGTTTGGTGGTAACCGAGCCCGACCCCTTGGCATTTGCTGCCTTCACCGCTTCCCACGGCGGGAACAAGCAGCGCGTTCTGCAGGCGGCAGTGGGAGAAGAAAGGCTGCCTTGTCCATCCCAGCAGTGGGGCGCCGGCTGGGGCGGCCGCGCTCCCGCTCCGCATTCCTACGGCAGAGCCGCCTGGAGAGGGGCTGCATCCCCAGCGCGACGGGCTGGGAGGAACGGCAGGCGTCCCTTGCGTGGTGAGGAGCCAGGTGAGGGGCTCTGATGGAGGGCAGTGCTGGGGGACAGGGTGCATCGGACAGCAGTGGGATTCCAGGGTCACCCTCTAGCTCATGGGCAGGCAAGCCTGCCTGTGGAGTGGGGGGTGTTGGGTGGAGAGTTTGGGCAGCAGGAGGTGGGCAGATGATTGCCCAGGGGACAGAGGTCCACCATGGTTCTCATCTGGTCTCACCAGTACAGCTGTGCTGGGAAGGGGTTAACATTGGAGTAGGATCCCACCCTGGCCCCACTCCCTTCCCATGCAGCAGCCTGGCCCCTCCTGGCTTTTCCTCCTTTCCAGACATTGTAAAGGGCCTGGGTGCAAGCAAGGGGTAGGGCTCAGCTGGGCTGCAGGGTCTCCAGATGCTAGGAAACGCAGCATCCCAGTGCCTGGGGGACATTGGCACTCTGCCGTGGAGGGTCCCACTCAGCTCCATGACCAGGTGGCAGGTAAGGAAAAGTAGCTGGTGGGCACTGGTGAACTGCTCTTGGGGTACTGCATCTCTGCTTCCCCCTGCCCCAGCTCAGCTCTCCCCATTCTGCGTGGGGTGGCTATGGTCCCCAAGGAGACTTTGCTGTGGGGCAGCCAACTCTGGTGTCACAGAAGACACTCGGGCTTCATCCCAGCCCTGGATCCCACGCCTGGTGTTTTCCAGCGTTTCATTTTTTCCACAGTGTGTAATAGCCGCTCACTCGCCCCCGCAGCTGAGCCCAGTGCTGGCCGAGCTGCAGGGGTCCCTCCGGGGGCTGGCGGAACAGCGGGCAATGCTGCCAGGGGCCGAGCCCGGGTCTCCTCCTGGTGACCCCTGCACCGGGATCCCTAACGGGGAGAGTAATCCCTGGTTAGGCTGCATGGGAAGGGTTAAGCTGCACTTGGCCAGTCCTGGGCGGAAGGGAGGGACATGGGGAACAGCCGAGGGTAAATTTAGTAACCCTGGAGCATCCCGACATGGCGTGAGCGCCGGGTGACGGAAATCGTTCCTTCCCGAGCTGCCTCCCACCCACGCAGAGAATGAGTGGCAGCATAGCTGCTCCATGGGCAGCCAGCCCCACTAGCCGTGGGCCTGAGTGCCACCTCAGCAGGGACATGGCACAGTCAGCCGAGCTTGTGCACCCTGAGGTGCTGCTGCTGTCGGGCTGTGTGGGAGCAGAGGTGTGTGCCTGGGTGATGGGGAGGGGCGCTGGTGACACACTTGGGGGTACCAGGGTTGTGCCGTGCGTGGCAGGCAGGTATTGCTGGGGACAACCAGATCCTGTGCTTGTGTGTCTTTGTCCACTGGTGGCCATTGAGGGTCTGATTGCCCACTGCTCTTGACGTTTAGGGTCAAGACCTCCCCGAAACTGAGCACATATGCTGTGTCTCCTTCTGGGACCATGTCTGTCTTGACAGCTGGCATGCAAGTGGGTTTCCCTGGTCAGATGGGGATGTGTGCCTTGCCAGGCAGGGATGCTTGCTGACTTCAGGCAGCTGCTGGCACGGTGGAGATGGGAGCTCAGGATGGGCATCCTGTTGGTGGCAAATGCCGGTTTGGAATGGGTAGGGTTTATGCTCAGGCTGCTGTCTGTGATGTGCAGGAGGAATAAAGGCTATGCCTAGTGTGATCCCTTGTGCTGCCATTCTCTGTTTGTTTTGGCAGCAGCCTGTGTCCAGAAGCATCCGATATCTCCAGGCGGGCATCATGGAGGCATCTGGCAGGACTCCCACCAGCCCAACCCACAGAGTCCAGAATGTCATCCAGGTGAGCACACAGGACCACAGGGGGATCTGGCTGGGAGCCCTTATCCTCCACAGCCAGCCCTACCAAGAGTGCTGTCCTCCAGCCTCTCCTCATCCCCAATCCTGTTATGGGATCGTCAGCAAAGCCCATTGAGCTAAGCGGCTGGTAGCTCAGATCCTCTTAGATGCATCCCAAGCCTCAGAGATCTCCTGCTCCCAGGGCAGCTCACCTCTGCTCCCCAAGGTGGATAGCACAGGCAGGAGAGAGCCCTCATCTCCTGTGCCTTGCTGGTGGATGGTCCTGCTGCCGTGTGGCTGTGCCTGGACATTGACACCACCTGTGCGTGTGGCTCTTCTGGAGCAGACCAGCCCACTGAGCTGTGCAGGGGAGTGAGCTGCATTCGTGGGAGCTGTGAGCATCCCTCCCTCTCCTGCAGAACAGCCCTCTGGACCTGATTGACACGGGCAAGGGGCTGAAAGTGCAGACGGAGAAGCCTCATTTGGTGAGCCTGGGCAGCGGCCGGCTCAGCACTGCCATCACACTCCTGCCCCTGGAGGAAGGTGAGTGATGGCTGCCCCGCGGTCCCTGCAGGCACGCTGGTGGCAGAGACACTGAGCTGTCCTCTCTGCTGGCAGGAAAGACCACCATCGGCACAGCCATGACAGACATTGTCCTGCAAGGCCCCGGGCTGGTGCCTCAGCACTGCTACATCGAGAACGTGCAGGGGACGCTCACCCTGCACCCCTGTGGTAACATCTGCGCCATCGATGGTGTGACTGTCCGGCGGCCCACACGCCTCACCCAAGGTAGGAACAGGCTGGGGTTCACCTGGGAAGTTGTGCCATCAGGTATCAGGCTGTTGGCAGAACCATCCTGTAATTGCATATCCCAGCTGGGATGCTCCTGCCTCTGTACCCTGGGCTGGCATGTTTGAGAACAGTTAGAGAACCGGCTTTGCCAAGTGCAGCAAGTGAGGTGGGGAGGGAGAGAGCCAGGCGGGCTTTGGAGAACAAGGGGAGATGCTAAGCCGGGTTTTGAAAGGGAGATGACAAAGGAAAACACCTCAGGTATCCTCCCGAGGGATGGCTGCCGGGACACGTCGGTCTGCCTGAGCGGCTGGAGGGCTTGGACCCCACGGCCGCTCCTGGGGAGCATGGGCAGAGTCAAGGGCCCCTTCCCACGCCATCCCGTCCCCGAAAGTCCCGTATCCCGCTTTCTGGGAATGAGTCTCCGCCGGGTCGGGCCGGGCCGGGCGGGGCGGGGCGAGGCCCGGCCCCCCGCCCCTCCCCGAGGGCGGTGCGGCGCTGCCCGGGCGGCGGCGGCGGCGGCGGCGGCGGCGGTGGTGGTGGTGGAGGTGGTGGCGGCACGGTGAGTGCGGTTCTGCGGGGCCACGCGTGTCCGCGCTTGGCGGGGGGATTCGCTCCCGTCCCTCCGCGTGTGACAAAGCCCCGGTGCCCCCCGCGGGCGGCAGCGTTGCGGCCCCCCCCCCCCCGCCTGTCTCCGTCCCTCCCCGGGGAGGGGGGAGCCGCCCGCGTGGGCGCTGCCGCGGGCGTCCCCGTGGGGGACAATGGAGCCACGTGGCCGCCGGAGAAGGGGCGCGACGGCTCCGGCGCGACGGTCCTGCCAGGTCCCGCCGGTCCCATGGTGGGTAACGAGGGCCAGGTGGGCTGTGGGGTGCGGGCAGGGGTCAGACGAGTCCCCCGTTCTTCTGCCCACGGGGGCCGGTGGAGGCAGGCAGGGATACGGCGGGGAAGGAAGGGCACCTGTGCCCAGCCACAGCTGGACGAGCCGTGGGGCTGCCAGGCCGGCCCTTGGGGTGCGGGTTGGGGTACCCTGCTTTGCCGGCGCGACGCGTGGTTCCATTGGTGCTGGCACGCGGGGAAGGGGCAGGGCAGTGATGCCTCTCGACAGAAGAGCCGCTGACGGACCAGGCGCCGGCATTGCCACCTGGCAGGCAGGATGCCCTCGCTGAGTCGGGGTGAACAGGACTCATCCCGCGCTGGTACTTGGGCAGGGGAACCAGGCCCCCGCGGCGGCGATGGCGGTTAATCTGTACGGCCTCTCACTCGCCTTGCTGCGAGCCTGGGCTGACGGGTGCTCCAAAAACACATCCCCTCCGGCGAGGGATTTTCAGCTCGGGCTGTTGGTGCGGAGTGAGCCTCTCCCCGGGGCCCTGGCAGGCGCTTCAAAGCAGGGTGTGTCGGCAGCACCGAGCCTCTCAGCCGCCCACTGCTCCCCGCTGCCAGCACGTGGCTTCCTGGCACCACAGGCAGTGGGCGAACGGACAGTGGGCAGCCCACGGCGCTGCACCCTGAGCTGCCTTCCTCTGAAGGGCCACTCGGCAGCCTTGCCCCGAAAGGGCTGCTGCTTTGGGCCAAGAAGAAGCGCTTTGCGGGCAGTGACAGGAGCTATCTTGTCTGCAGCTGGCAGACGCGCAGGCCCTGGAGTGCTGCCAACTCCCCCTCAGCCCCCAGCAGGGACCCCAGCTGTGCCTGCGCCTGCGACTCACTGCCGGCAGCTGCCGGGGAATGACCTGGATTTCAGCCTTCCCCTAAGCCTCTGCTGACAGCAGGAGCCTGCTCCCCTCCCGGGGGTGCATCTTAGGGCCAGCAGCGCCCTGCTGCCTCCCTGTGCTGGCTCCTATCTCCCCTCTCTCCAGCATCGCTCTGATACTGCCAACCATCAGCTGATGCCTCTCCTCTCTCCCAAGGGTGCACCATCTGCCTGGGCCAGGCCACTTTCCTCCGCTTCAACCACCCTGCCGAGGCCAAGTGGATGAAGAGCATGATCCCGGCGGGGGGCAGGAGCCCAGCGGCTTTCTACGGGCTGCCAGCAAGTAGGTGACTCCCCCTTGACCCAGGCAGGGTGAGGCAGATGCTGAGGTGCTCCCTGACCTGCACCATAAGCCTTCCTGGCGCGTGATGCTCTCCCAGCCCTGTCCTGCTGGACTCCTAGCCCTCCCACTTGGCAGTGGGGCTCATACCTGGCTTCGGATGTGCCGTCCATTGTCTCAGCATGGTACGGCAGCTGCACTGATGTTTGTTAATGATTAATATAATTTCAAAGAGCGTGTCTGCGGGGGCAGTGAGGCGAAGCTCCTGCCCCTGCCCAGCCTGGCCATGGCAGAGCCATCACCCATCGGAGCCCCCCTGACTGCCTGGAGCAAGTGTTTACATGCCAGGGGGGTGTGCCAGGGCTTCGAAGGCCGTTTCACCGACTGCTGTCCTTCATCTTGCGAGCTGCTTATCTTGCTGTGTCTGCCTGTCTGTGGGGCAATGGGTTGAGTGCCAGAGTTGTGCCTGGTTCCTGGGGATGTCCAAATCCCAGGCAGTGATCCCTGGGCTGGTAGCCCTTCTCCCTGCTCTGACCAGCACGCCCTGGCACGGGGAGAGGAGCTTGGCAGTCTCCCCATGCCACGTGTGTGTCGGGAAGGCAGCACACCCACAGCTGGGGGACGGGAGGAGGGACGTGGGGAAGTGCTGAGGCTGAGGAGCATCATACAACTGCAGAGCATCCTGCGACTGCACAACATCCGATGCAGGCCATGCGTGGTCCCTCTCTGCCACATGGGACTGGATGGGATCACGCAGATAGGGCTGTGGCACATCTCTCCAGGAGTGGAGGCGCTGTCAGCTGCTGTGGGGGAGCTGCTGGGTGCCAGGGAGTGACGCAGCCTGGGTGGCACGCTGTCCTGTCTGGGCTCCACGCCTGCCGTGATTCGCTCGTCCCCTGAGTGACAGGCACATCGGTGCTGCGCAGGGAGGACAGGGCAGCCCAGGCAGGGGCACCCTGGCCAGGGGCACAGGCAGACTGCGGGCGACGTGGCAGTGGGTCTGGACACGCTGCAGGTCAGCAACTTTTGGCTGTCGCATCTCTGACCCCTTGCTGGGGAGCTGGAATGTGCCAGGGGCAAGTGGTGGGTGCCGGTGGCTGGCACAGGCAGCTGCCTTCCAGGGACTGGGGCCGGGAGCTGCGACACAGGGATGTCAGAGTGGGTGGCTGGGCTGTGGTCTCAGGTTTCTGTCTCCTGGGTGATGGGCCAGCGGGATTCCAACCTCCTCCCTGGCCCTGGTTCCCCAGCCAGAGTGAGAAAGGGTGGAAGTGGGGGTGCAGGCAGCTTGAGGTGCAAAGAAGAGGGGCTGCGACCCAGTGCTGGCTCTGTAAGGCTGCATGGAGGAACAATGCCGGGTTGGCCTGTGGGACCCCAGCCCAGGCAGGGGCCATGGCGGGGGTCACACCACACTGACTGCTTGCTCCTGTGTCTCCCCGCAGAGCCTGAGGCCCTGGTGAACGGGGGCCACCAGCCATCAGAGCGTGGGTGTCCCAGCCATAGCTCCCTCGTCAGCTCAATAGAGAAGGACCTGCAGGACATCATGGACTCACTGGTGCTGGAGGAGCCGGCATCCCCTGGCATCCAGAAGCCACCAACCTGCGGCCAGTCCCCCCTCTCCCCTGTGGTGAACGGAGGTGGACGCTGCCTCCTGTCCCCGCCACCTAGCCCTGGCGCTGCCTCGGGAGGCTCCAGCTACGAGAATTTCTCTCCGCTGTCCTCCCCAGCCAGCAGCAGCAGCTACACCAGCCCCTCGCTCAGCAGCCAGGAGCAGGGGCCACCCGTGCCCCCCCTTGTCCCGCTCCGTTCCTCCAGCTACAACCACACTGTGCAGCCACCCACCCTGCCCAGTGGGAGTCCTACTGAGCCTTGGCCTGTTGAGAGGCTCAGCGACCATCGGGCAGGCAGCCCCCGCCTGACACCCAGGGTGGCACCGCGGCCACGGGTGGCCCTGCAGGAGAGGCCCCCGAGCCCCTTCCGTGAACTGCGGGACTCCCTGGTGCCCAGCCGACAGGTTTCCAGCAGGGCAGTCCCAGAGGCCCGACTGCAGCCCCCTGAGAGCCCACGGCTGGCTCGGAGGAACATGGAGAGCATGCGGGAGCTGCCCCCCCTGAGCCCCTCCTTGTCACGCCGGGCCGCCAGTTCCCGGGCAGCTCCTGACGCCCCCTTCCCACAGGCCCGGCTGGGCAGGGAGGTGCCTGGCAGTCCCCGTGCAAGGCTCAAGGGCTCGGAAGAGTCCAGAGGTGCTGGGAGCCCCTCGTCCCCACTGCTGGCAGAGACCTCCACACGCCGCCCCAGCTTTGGCACTTGCCTGAGCCCAACATATGGGCTGAGCTCAGCGGCCATGCCCTCGCCCCATCAGAGCCCCCGTGCCCCCAGGAAGCCTTTGGGGGACCCACGGCTGCCCGCGGGGCCACGAGAGCGCAAGAACAGCATCACCGAGATCAGTGACAACGAGGATGAGCTACTGGAGTACCACCGGCGGCAGCGGCAGGAGCGAGTTCGGGAGCAGGAGATGGAACGCCTGGTGAGCTTTGGAGTGGGTGGGGGGGACACATTTGAGTGTGGGAAACCCTCTTTCATTATTTGCTACTTTAAAACCCAGCCCTTGTCTCTTGGGGATTTGCTGCAGCTGCCAGGCTACCGGCTTATCTGAGGGGATTATGGCCAGGAGCAGCCATGGGTGCTCAGAAGCTCTATGGGAGTACAAAGCCCCCAACTTGCAGCAGCCCAGGGAAGTCGCTGGGGTCGGCACGGTTCTGGGGTTGCCATTGAAAGCCAGTGGTGCCCCTGGCTTTGCAAAACTGTCCATGTGTTGTCCATCCCTGCCAGGGCCAGTCTGCTGGCAGCAGTGCTGTGGCTCTTGTGGGTATTGTGTCTATATTTAGGGCCAAGGGAGGTTTTTATGGAGCTGGCAGCTGCCTGGGTGGGGTTTGCCCGTGTCTCTGCTGGTCCTGGAGGCTGAGCCGCCAGGGCTCTGTTTGCTCAGCCCTGACTCACGCCCAGCGCGGTAGCTTGAGTCACTGACTGGAAATAGCAGAGGCGTTCAGCGGCCGGTACTGCTGCCTGTAATCAGTCTGTGTCCGGCTCCTGGCACATCGTGTGCCTGGATCTTGTGGGGGGTTTGGGGAGGCTGCATCATGTTTTGTGATGTCCCCAGCCCATCCCAGCATGCAGCAGGGCAGGGAGTGAGCCCATATCCTGGTGCCCACCATCAGCACAGAGTGCCACGGGCTCTGGCCGTGACACGTGCTGGGACAGGTGCCATGCTAATGGTTCTCCCCCACAGGAGCGGCAGCGCCTGGAGACCATCCTGAACCTCTGTGCTGAGTACACCAAGACGGACAGCACGGAGCCGGGTGACGTGCCCCGGCTCCTGGCTGGTGATGTGGATGCTGGCCGGCGGGTGCCCAGGGGTGCCGTGCCTCTGGGTCGTGCGGCTGAGGAGCTACGGCAGAGGGAGAGCCTGGAGAGATCAGATGAGGAGAACTTGAAAGAGGAGTGCAGTAGCACCGAGAGCACTCACCACGAGGTAAGGGGACAGCTGTGTCACGCTGTGCTGTGCCATGCTGCACCATGTCACGCCAACCAGCCCTCTCCACAGCACGAGGAGTTGACGGGCCCCCGGGCCAAAGAGGCGCAGCGGCTGGAGGAGGAGCGTGCCAGCGTCCTCGGCCGCCTGGACCAGCTGAAGGGCCGTGTCAAGGAGCTGGAGCAGCAGCTGCAGGAGACATCACGAGAGGTGAGGAGTCAGTGGACACTGCTGGGTCCCCTGCTGCTTGCTGCCCTCACCAGTCAGTGCTGAATTCCATGGGCATGAGCCAGATCCAGCTGGGGCAGCCATCCTGATGTGGCTGTGCCTGTCCAGGCAGAGATGGAGCGGGCGCTGCTGCAGGGTGAGCGGGAGTCAGAGGCGGCGTGGCTGCAGCAGGAGCAGGAAGCAGTGCAGCAGCTGCAGGAGAAGCTCACCAGCCTGGATGCCAGCATCCGCAAGGAGCGAGACAAGGTGAGCCTCATTGCAGGTTTGCACTGTCACCATCTGTGTCTTACCCTCCCTGGCAGTTGCAGCCAGTGCCATGATGTTCCAAGCTGCAGTGTTCCCCTGTAGACATGTTCTCCAGACCTTGGGCTCCACAGAGGCTTTGAGGAGCAGTCCCTCTAGTTTGTGTTGTGGGGAGATCTGTCCGTCTGTCCATCTGCCTGGGGCTGGTCCAACAGCCCTGCCAGAGGAGAACTGGGCTGATGCTTGGGGAGCTTTTCAACTGCTGCCTGTCGCGCTGGCAGGGTCTGGGCAGGGAGATTTGTGTGGGGCTTTCCAGGTGGCTGCTGCCCGTGGTGGGCAGTGCTGAAGTGGGGGCCTTGGTGTTGCCCATTCCCTGCCCTTGCTGGGGAGGGAACTGCATCTTGTGGCAAGGTGCCTCACTCAGCTGCATATGCACAAGTGAAGGCAGCTGCTGCTGTGGTGTTCAGCTCAGTGGAGATGGCTGGGAAACCACTGCAGGTGTTTAACTTATCTCGGTGTCTGAGGAGGATGTCCTGGGCCTCCTTTCCCTGGAGTCATCTGTGGTGCAGTTACTGCCTGAAGGCACCCATGCCGCTGCGTGTTCCATATGCTTGTCCCAGCTGCTGGTTGCTGGCCATCCCACAGTCTTGCAGGCAGTGTGGCATGACCTTGGGTAAGCTGCTCTGCAGCAGGAGAGCTGCTGGAATCCAGCTCCCCGCTGCCTGAGGCCAGCGGTCCTGTGCAGTCTGTGCCTGGGTCCCATTGGCAGCTCTGTGCCATCATGATGTGGCACCAGCGTCCCTGGAGCCCTGGCTGGCCCCATGGCTGTGGGTACTGGGGCTGTCAGGGTGTCTGTGGCCCTGCAGAGCAGCCATCAGCACCTGCCACCAGTGCCCCCACAGTGTTTGGGGGTTTTGTTCTGGTTTTGGTCTTCCAGTGCCTTGTAGGCATCTTCTGTAGCCAGGGACAGCCTTGTGCAGAACCAGGAGAAGAGCACAGGGAAATCCCCATCCCATCCTCTCTGCTGACCTGAGTGCCTGCTTTCCTAACCCATCTGCACTACTCACACTAACAGTGCCTGCTCTGAACTCTGCCATCACCTCTGGCGTCTCTGCATGCCCAGGAGCCCCTAGGCACCCCACAGCCCCTCTTGTGAGGCACCTGCCTGTGCCAGCCCAGCCTCCCCACCAGCGTGCCCCCTTATAGCCCTTTTCATGCATCCCCCATCTCCATGTGGAGCATTGTTCCTTGCAGCAAGCGTTTCCCAATGCCAAGTCCCCTCATAGTGCTGCAGGAGGTGGTGCCCTTAGACCAGCCCCTTGTTGCTGGCCACATTTTACTGCTTCTGTGGCCGTGGGAGGGAGGGTTGGGGTCAATTTCCCCTCATTTCAGGCCCAGGAGCAAGTGTTTGCTCTACCACTGACTTGACATAGTCTGAACATGGCTGGACCTCAGCCTCCTGTTTTCACTGCTGCCCCGTGGGCAGCCCTCTCCTGCTGATGGATGAGGGTGATCCATGCCCTCAGGCTGCATTCAGGACCTTCAGTGCTTTAACTGGCAGCATTCCAGTGGTGAGCAGCACTTAACAAAGCCAGTTAGTGGTTGTTCGGAGGGTGCATGTGGGGGAGCTGTGTGCAGGATCAGGATGACTTTATCCATGCTATCAGCATTGATCTTTTTGCTGCCTGTAAGTTTGTTTTTGGAAACACAGGGCTGAGGTTGAGGGCTGGCTGTAACTGCTCTAACACTCTGTGGTCCCAGCTCCTATGTCTGTTGTTCTCTCTTGCCATGCTCCCTCCCCCTGGCCCTTCCGTAACCACCCGAATGCTCCTCTCACTCTTGCTCTAACTCACAGCTTCTGCATGGCGCCCATCTGAGTAGTGTGTTTTCTCTCTTCTTTCTTTCTTTTTTTCCTTTTTCTTTTCTTTTCCTTTTTTTTTGTTTTGTTTTGTTTTGTTTTTTCTTGTTCTCCCCTGATTCAGGAAAGGGCAAAGATTGATGCTGAAAGGAAGGAGCTAGAGCAACTCCGGGCACTTTACCATGAGTCGAAGAGTCACCTTGATAAGTGCCCCGAGTCAATGCGGGAACAGTTGCGGGAGCAGATGCGAAGGGTCAGTGTCTCCCCCCACCCCTCCCGGACCATGGCCCACCTCCCTCCGCTCCAACTTAGGCCAGCTCTTCCCTGCCAGCCGGGGCTGCACTGGGAGCATCACACCCGGGCTGGAGGCAGCTGGCACCGGGCACCACCGTCCTGGTAAGCTTGCTGCTCGCCCGGGCCCGGGGCGCAGGGGTGGCTCGGCAGAGCTGCTCGGGACCGGGCAGGGCACGAGCACAGACCCTGCCCTGCAAAGGAGGGCAGGCTGGGGAGCCTTGGGGACCACTGCATCCTCGTCTGGCTGCCTCCTGCTATTTCCTGAGAGTGTTTACTTACACAGCACTGACAGTTTATGTTACTGCTAGTCCGCAGAGATTTTTCCTGTTATCTGGTATTTTTCGGGAGCAGTTGACTTTCCTCAGCCCATGGCTAGTGCCTGCCCAGCTAAAGCCCCATTGCCACAGCCTGCTCTGGGCAGGCACTCCCATGCTGGTTGTGGGTTGGGTGTGTGGCAGGCAGGGGTGGCGATGGAGCGGTCCTGGTGTATGAAGGCCCTCTGTAGCCACCACGCCAGCGCTGTGCCATGAGAGCACCAGCTGCCTGGCTCCTGGAGCAGGGTGAAACATGTCGCCACAGGTTACGCGGTGCAATGGCTGCCAGGGTGGCACAGGTAGGCCCTGAGCTGAGTGCTGCCACGTGCTGTTGGTGCGTGAAGGCTGGGAGGACACACAGGAGTTTGTCTGGCATGGTGCTTGTCTGTGAGGGCTCTGTTGCCCGCTGGCTCGGTGATGCAGGGATGCATGTTGGTGGTTATGCTGGCACATGGTGTTTTGCTGCCTGTCAGGGCATGGCTCCAACCCAGATGTGGTTCAGGAGGGTAAGCTGGTCTCCAAGGGCTTGATGAAGCCCCTGCCTCTGGTGAGCTTCTCATCTCATGGGGGTGATTGCTCTGTCCTGGCCAGTTCTGGGTTCCTCCATTGCCATCTCCTGTGGAAGACACTCGTGGCAATGTCTCCCACGTTTCTGATGCCCTGCAGAAGGCAAAGCTGCCTACCTGCCCACACCAGGGACATTGGTCAGGCCTGGCCATGAGCTCTTGTTCCTGACCAGCACCAGCAGGATGTAGGGGCATGCAGGTTTTGCTGTGGGATGCTTGCCTGCAGGATGAGGAGGTGCCCATCCAGAGGGACTGATCCACTGTTCCCTTGTGTGTCTAAAGGAGGCAGAGGCACTGGAGACAGAGGCCAAGCTGTTTGAGGACCTGGAATTCCAGCAGCTGGAGCGTGAGAGCCGCCTCGAAGAGGAGCGTGAAGCACGGGGCCAGCAGCTCCTGCAGAGCCGGGCCGAGTGCAACCGCAGCATTGCCTGCAGGAAGGTAGGGGCAGAGGGGGCAGTGGGTCTGTCACAGCCAGGCTGTGTCCCATGGCTCACTGGCAGCCAGCTCATCCCTGCTGCCTGCTCCCCAGGAGCGAGTGGCTGCCCTGGATGCCCAAGCTGCCCAGATTCGGCTGCAGAGTGCCCAGGAGGCCGAGCGCCTGACCAGGGAGCGGAGTGGCATCCTGCAGCTCCTGCAGAAGGTAATGCCAGGATGAGGGGCCTGACAGGGGCTCCCTGACCCTGATTGTGCCAACTCTTGCCGGAGTGCTGGCAGGAAGGGTGAGCTTGGGAGGGGACCAGCCATGGGGTGCCCATAACCATCAGCAGCTGTCTCTGCTCTCACTGTCACCTTGTGCACAGGAGAAGGAGAAGCTCATGTCTCTGGAGAGGCGATACCAGCTCGTCACAGGTGGCAAGAGCTTCCCCAAAATGTCCTCCGCTCTCAGAGAAGTAAGTGGGCAGAGGGGGCTACAGTGCCTAGGGCTGCTCTCCTGAGCCACTGTTGCCAGTGGGGATGAGCCTTGTGCACCACAAGCTCTGCTTTGCAATAACTCCCAAGCACCCTCTGGCCAGAGCCAGGCACTCCTGGCCACTCAGAGTCTCTCCATGGGCTGTAGAGTTTGGGAGGGAAGGAGGAAAATGCAACAGGGCAGCACCTGGGCCAGCACTGCTTCAGGTCCCACCCTTGCTGGAGAGCAAGTATGGGTGTGTTTTGGTGCTACCACAGGGGACTTTTAGGTGGGAATGAGTCACTCTGTTGCCCTGCTTGTGGCTCTGAACAGGGAGCCAGAACCATGATGCCCTTGGGAGCTGCAGTGCTGCCAGACCTGCTGCTGGGAAGAGGGGCAGGATGGCAGAGTCCCCTTGTGCCTGCCTGCAGTGGGACTCCTGCTGCTGCCACCTTGCTGCCTGTGCCCACCTTGCTGCCTGTGCCCACCTTGCCTACATGATCTTTACCCTCCAACAGGAGACCCTCCATATCTCAGAGCCATATGAGCTATTGGAGGGAACTAAGTCCTTGAGCCCCCTGCCAGCAGCAGCTGCCTCCTTAGCTTCTCCTGCCACCTGCTCCTACCCCAAGGCACAAGAGGTAACTAACTAGTGGGACTAACTGCATGTGCTTGCTCGCTTGCCCCTCCTTGGCAGAGACCCCTTTCATAGAGTAATGTCACCCTCAGTCAGCAGGGCAGCCCAGCAGCAGCATGGCTGGGGCATTTCTCATTTAGCTCTCTGGCAGCTGTGCTCATTAACACTCAGTTGCTGATTCCAGGTGCTTTCCTGACTCCAACGAGCATCCCAGCTCCCACTGCTGACCTTGGTTTTAACCCTGGTGTGGCTCTGTGGGGCACAGGCATCCCTGTGCTTCCCCTTGCCCACCAGTTACCCTCTGGTTGGGCACCTCCTGGCAGCATTCTGTAGGGTCCTGCTAGCCTGACTTCCCTAAAATAAGAGCAAGTTGCAGGCTTTAGCATGTTTGGTTCAGAAAGGATGGGGAAGTGGATTTTAAGCTGGCTCAGTGCAGCTTGAGGTGCCTCATCCAGTACTGTGGGGAAGCCTTGTGGCCGGGGCCCTGGGGGACCCTGAGGTCTCTCCCCAGCGGGCACTCAGCAGAGCTGTGCTGAAGGCAGGAACATGACGGGTGCCAGCACACCCACCCCAGCTTGGGCACCACACTCCTCGCACAGTGCCACGCACTGGGGCTGCCATGGGCAGCAGGACAGGGCTGGGCAGGCAGTCTTGGGTCCTGCATGCACAGGGAGGTTTGCTCCCACTTTTCAGTCAGTGCCATAATGCCAGCACATGAGTCTAATTCTCCTCCTTCTCCCTCGCCGTGGATTTCTAGGAGTACATGAGGCTGTCTGACGTTTTCAGGTTCTGCAGCAATACTCATGGCCCCAGCCTGGACACTAAAGCTTCTGCTGCTGCCCCTGCTGCTGCTCAGCGCTCTTTCTTGCTTGCTGTACCTCCAGCAGCCGATGAGGTACCCGCCCCAGAGCATGCTCGGGTTTGCTCCCTTGGGTTGCCCACTGCATCCCAGGTCAAGGGACTTGTCTGGCTGCAGCTGAAGGGGGAGCAGAGGCTCGAGCTGCCTGGTCTCCTTGCCAGGGTGCACTTCTTGCCTGCTCTGGATGTGGTGGCAGCAGGGCCAGGGAGCAGAACAGGTGCCCAGCAGAGTGGGAGGGTGGCCCTTTGTCTGTTGGATCCAGTCCTGGCCACTGGTCCCAAGCAAGGAGGATGCAAAGCAGGCGGGGACCTGACCTGGTGCCCAGCACCAGGGTAGCAGCAGCACCAACTTCTCTTCCTCCTGGGACATGGTACCTTCCTTTGGGGGGCTGGAGCTGCCTGTTCATTCCCCTGTGCCTACTTGTCCTTGCTTTTCTCCTGGTTTAATATGCTTCTCTCTGCCCAGTACGTGACTGTTGAGCAACTCTCAGGCATCCTGGGCAGCCTCAACACCCCTGCTGCTTCCCTGCTGGGCTGCACCCCTCCAGCCCTTTCATCCTCAGGCTGCACTTCTCCTCTTCAATCTCTCTCTTCTCCCTTCATCTCTGCAGAGGTTTGTGTCCTGTTTCCCTCCCTTCGGCCCCTTGTCCTCTCCCTGGGAGGTGCTGGGGATGCATGGGAAGGAGAGAACTGTGGATGAAGCTGAACAGCAGCTAAGGCTCTTGACAGCCCACACACCCCTCGTTGTCCTGTCTGCTGCTTCACTGCCCATGGGGCAGATCAGGGGGGTCTTTCTGCTTGGTCAGCTCTCTTGAGCAGCAGAGGGTTCCTACAGCTGCTGGGACTTAGCCAGGGAGTGCACAGGATCCCTGGGGGTTTGCATGTCAAATTCTGGGGGAGTGGTGCAGGCAGAGGCAGAGATGCTACAGCCTTTTGTCTGTGCATCTGTCCCTCTTGCTGCATTTGTCCTTCATCCTTTCTCACGTGGCCTCTCTCTCCAGATGGAGCAGCAGCTGCCAGGAGGCCCTGTGTGCCTCCAGGCTCTTGATTTAGAGAAATGGTACCAGGAGGTCATGGCTGGCTTTGAGACCTCCTCTTGCCCTGTCTCTCCTCCTTCTTCCCCTCCTCCACTTCCAGCTAAAGCTCACTCCTCTCACAAGGCTCTCCAGGTAATCCTGGCTCCCTGCTGCCAAGGCTCAGGCTTTGGGACTGCTGGCCATGGCGGGAGCGGGGCAGTGTGGGGATGTTGCTGTGGGCCCTTGCACCCTGAATGCTGCCAGGCTCCTGCCTGCTGCCATGGGCAGGGGCAGACCAGACCTTCTGCCTGGGGCAGGCAGCCCCTGCTTCTTACTGCCTGCAGCCCTGCCAGAATGGCACTGACATGAGACAGGATCTGGGGAAGGGATGCTCAGCCCTGCTTACAGATGAGCCATCTGTCCGGGGGGGCTTTTGCGGTCCCCCATGTCCCTCTCACCTCCATGTCTCTGTGCCCAGGTCTATCGTGCAAAAACAGAGGGTGACGCTGGTGTCCCCAGCCCTCGGATGAAGAGTGGGACTCCCTCGTCCTCCCAGCTAAACCTCTCTGTGCTGGGGCGCAGCCCCTCGCCCAAGGTACAGCTGCCAGGGGGACCTGGGCACCCTGGCCATGGGTCACATGCTCCCAGTGCCAGGTCCTGTCCCTGTCCTTGCAACTGATCCCCTGCTGTCCTGCTCAGGGCCCCCCGAGCCCAGCGGGCAGCCTGCCTCGCAACCTGGCGGCCACGCTGCAGGACATCGAGACCAAGCGCCAGCTGGCCCTGCAGCAGAAGGGTGAGCTCTGGCTCTGCGTCCCAGCTCTGAGGGGTGGTGGGACTTTTGGAGACGCTACCCCCGCTGCCATTTGGGCAATGGAGAAGGGAGCCCGGCCAAGGGTGGGAACAGCAGCAGCAGCACTCCGGTGGGATGCACTGCCTCTCTCACAGTCTCTTGCTCTTCCCCCCCTCTCCTCCTCCTGACCCCTCCACCCGACGGCGTGTCTCCAGCCAAGCTGCTCCCAGCAGAGCCCTTGCAGCCGGGTGATCTACCAGGTAGAGATGTGGGGCAACTTGGAGTGCCTGGAGCAGCCTGGAGGCAGCAGCATGGCTGTTTGCTGGCACCTTCTGCCATGCATAAGAGGGGCATGACTAGCCCAGGACCCCAGGTGCCTCTCAGCATCTGCTTAGGGACAGCCCCGTGCATCTGTAACACGCTAATGCTTTGCCCAGCCTGCTCCTGCCAGCCTGGTGCATGTACCCCCTTGACTGTCCAGGCCCCCTCCTCCTGCCTGGACAAGATTGCCGTGCTTGCCAGAGAGTTGTGATGGCAGCTCCCACCTCTGCCGCTACTATCCCTACCTGGCTCCAGCAGGGCCTGTGGTGTCTTCTGCCTGTGCCACCCCCTCGCCCACTGCAGTGCATCTCTGAACGTGGCATGCCTAACTCAACATCATGATCCATCCTCCCGTGGCACAGGTCAGCAGGTGATCGAGGAGCAGAAGCGACGTCTCGCAGAGCTGAAGCAAAAAGCGGCTGCTGAGGCGCAGTCCCAGTGGGAAGCCCTGCATGGGCAGCCCCCCTTCCCCACTGCCTTCCCCCGGCTCGTGCATCATTCCATCCTCCACCACCACCGTTCCCATGGCGCTGGGTCCCGGGCTGAGGAGCTGGACCATGCATATGACACCCTTAGCCTGGAGAGCTCAGACAGCATGGAGACCAGCATCTCCACTGGCAACAACTCTGCCTGCTCACCTGACAACATCTCCAGGTAACCCTGGGGCCAGCTCCTGCAGCTGGGGTACAGCCTGCTCTGGTGGCATGCTGCTGGCTCGAGGTCCTTCCTGCTGCAGCAGCACCTGCATCTGTCTTACAGTGCCAGCGGGATGGAGACAGGTAAGATTGAGGAGATGGAGAAGATGCTGAAGGAGGCACATGCTGAGAAGTCCCGGCTGATGGAGTCCCGGGTGAGTGGGACCTTACTGGCACCGCAGCTGGATGGGGAGCAGGTCCCCAGTCCTTGGGGCTGAGCTCTCATGTGTGCCGGCAGGAGCGGGAGATGGAGCTGCGCCGGCAAGCGCTGGAGGACGAGCGCCGGCGCCGGGAGCAGCTGGAACGCCGGCTGCAGGATGAGACTGCGCGGCGGCAGAAGCTGGTGGAGAAGGAGGTCAAGCTGCGGGAGAAGCACTTCTCGCAGGTGCGAGGCAGGCTGCCACCCTCCAGCGGCCTCACCAGGGAGGAACACCTGGCTCCCAGGGTCCCAGTGCGGGGACATAGCTCTCGTTGCCACTGGTGGGCTTTGCAGGGCTGTGTTGCTTTTCCAGGCTCGTCCCCTGACACGGTACCTCCCCATCCGCAAGGAGGATTTCAACCTGCGGCTGCACATTGAGTCCTCGGGCCACAGTGTGGACACCTGCTACCACGTCATCCTGACTGAGAAGATGTGCAAGGGCTACCTGGTCAAGATGGGGGGCAAGATCAAGTCTTGGAAGAAGCGCTGGTTTGTCTTTGACCGCATGAAGCGCACCCTCTCCTATTACATGGGTGAGTCCCTGTGCTGCCCAGCGCCCCCTCCCAATACCATAATCCACAGTCCACAACACTTCTCTCTCTCTCTCTGGCAGATAAACACGAGACAAAGCTGAAGGGTGTCATCTACTTCCAAGCCATCGAAGAGGTTTACTACGACCACCTCCGCAGTGCTGCAAAGGTGGGAGCTGGGCACTAGTGTCTGCTGAGAGGCTCTGGAGGCATCCCTATTCTCCCACATTGCCCTCTGACAAGCGCACAGGAAGCAGCAGGGCAACTCCTGCTGGTGCTCATGGAGTGGTCCATGGCCTCGGATGGAGCCAGCTCCTTGGGGTGCCAAGGGCAGGACCCCAGTGCTGGGCTTTGGGAGGGGGGCATAGCAGGGAATGCTGTTGCTCAGAGGGGGCCAGAGCACTGATCCCATCCTACTCCTTTCCAGAGCCCCAACCCTGCGCTCACTTTCTGTGTCAAGACCCACGACCGTCTCTACTACATGGTGGCACCCTCGGCCGAAGCCATGCGCATCTGGATGGATGTCATTGTCACCGGGGCAGAGGGGTACACCCAGTTCATGAACTGAGGGGGTTGCTATGCACCCCAGATCCACCACTTGGACGGACTCCTGAGGATCCCAAGCAGTGAGGAGCTTCTGCAGGGGCCACAGCCCCTGCTGCACCCTGTGCCAAGGGTTGTGCACGCCACAGCAGTGGAGCTACACTTGGCCCATGCTGGGTGGCACTGAGCATTGCCTGCTCAGCCAAGGGAATAAGATTTTTTATGTTGACTTTTTAAAAACAAAATTTATTTGAAAAAGTGCTCAAATGCCAAAGAGCTGCCAGGGCTTGAGCTTTCTGCCTTGGGGAGATGCTGGATTTGAGGCAGACACTGATAGTTGCCGCAGTGTTCCAGAGGGGGATTGTGAGGCCCCCAGCTGGCTAGGACCCCCCACTGAGGAAGACCCAGACCCCTCTTTGTAAACCTTTTGTAACTCCGGATCGGTGTCCCCCTTCTCCCGACCGTGCTGCGGCCGGATGGGGATTGTAGGGCTGCCCAGCCATAAAGCATTTCACAAACAAGGCTGAGCCCCTCTGTGTGTCCTCTGGCCTGGCAGCATCCAGACCAGAGCCTTCCATGGACGGGGAACCGGGTGTAAGCTGAGGGGCACGGGATCGGACGTGGGAGACGGTGGGGCCTGCAGGAAGTTGCAGGAGGCATCGGCGGGGAACGGATCGGGACAGTGGGACGGCTGGGGGGTGCCGCGAGGCCGAGCCGAGCCGAGCCGAGCCGAGCCGCAGCGGGGACGGGAAAGGGCGTGGTCGGGGGTCTGGGCCGCCAGGGGGCGCGCACGGCGCGGGTGGCTCTCACGTGGCGCTGTTTCCGCGCGGCAACGGGGCCCAATGAGGCCGCAGCCCCTCCCGTGACCACTTCCGGCTTCCCTCGACGTGGCCCAATGGGCGCGCGCGCGCCGTGGGATTGGCGCGCGGGGTCGGCGCCGCCGAATGCGCCAATCAGCGCGCGCCGCGTGCGGGCGGGGGCGGTGCGAGGCGGCGGGACCGGCGCGGCGGGGGCGGCTCCGCGCGCCGGGCCGGGCCCAACCGAGCCGGGCCGAGTCCAGCCTAGCCCAGCCGGGCCCAGTGCAGCCCAACCGAGCGGTGCCGAGCATGGCGCGGGTGCCCGGCCGGGCGCTGCCCTGGCTGCTGCTCCTCCTGTGCCTTCTGCCCGCCGCAGGTACGTGCGGGGCCGTGCGGGGCAGCGCGGTGGGAGGCGGCGGGGGAGCAGCGGCCGGTGCTTCGGTGCTGCCCCAGCGCCCTGACTGGGCTCACCCCTTGCCGGCCGCCGCACCGGGGGCAGGGTCTCACCGAGGGCTTGTCTGCAGAACCGGTGGCCGTCATGTCGGTGGACGTGGGCAGCGAGTCGATGAAGATCGCCATCGTGAAGCCCGGGGTGCCCATGGAGATCGTGCTGAACAAGTGAGCGGCTGTTCCAGCGCCCTGAGCTCCCCCGCGGGAGCCGTACGGGGGGCGGGGGGGTCCCAGTCTGCCCTACCAGGGCTGGATCCCGGGGGTGAAGGTTTCTGGAGCTCAGCCATCCATCCCTGTTTCTCTGCTGCCGGAGGGGCGCTCCCATCCTCCCCCCCATGGGAGCCGCCCTCGGTGAGCACCTATGGGGCATCGTCCAGGCCATCCTGGGGGGCTCGGGGGTGCTTTGGGCAGCTTTCCAGCGAGTGCCGAAAGCCCACGTGGTTATGGACACGTTGTGGTGTGAACCCAAAAGGGCACAGGTCATGTTCTCACCTCTCCCCTGATTCTCAGTTCCCCACAAAGCAGCCCGGAGCCAGGTTTGTTTTGCTGCAGCTGTTCAGAGCCCACACTTGTTGAGAAGCAGGTGGAGCTTTCCCTGCACTCAGCTGCTCCTGCAGCCCATCCCCAAGACCCTGAGTGAAGAACCTGTGGTTGGAAGGGGGCTCATGATCAGGAACATCCTCATTTTCGGGGAGACTAGAGATAACAAGTAGGTTTCTTACCTGACAATTGGCAGTCATAGCATGAATGAGGGAACTGTCTTGCCTTGGAGCAAAACAAAAAAATGAGCGTCCGCAGAGCACTGAAGGTGGCAGGTGGGCTTCTCTGCCAGTTCCTCAGCTGAGCAGAGACTGGACCTTCTCTCCCTAGCAGGTATCCGAGCACCTTCCCTTAGTCCTTCTGGAATGGGAACAACATCCTTCCTCACTGGAGACTGTGTGGAATGTTCACCTGTTTCAGGTGGTTTATTCCTCTCTCCACAGGGAGTCACGAAGGAAAACACCCGTGGCTGTTTCTTTGAAGGAGAACGAGCGTCTCTTTGGCGACAGCGCGCTGGGGATGGTAAGAGTTTCTGTCCACAGAACACTGGTATTCAAGGTTGTGATGAACGTCTGAGGCAGGGAATTTTATTGTTGTTCTGTTCTGCTCATCTCCTTGATGTGTTACTTGCTCTGTGTACTGGCTGTGTGCTCCTGCTCCCATAGCAAGAGTTACTCCCCACACAGCCTGGGAGGGGTTGGTTTGAGACTGGTGTAGCCAAAGGAATGCAGGTGGGTGATGTGCTCTTTTTTTTTTTTTTTTTTTTTCTTTCCCTGCAGTCCATAAGGACGCCTAAGGTGGCATTCCGGTACTTCCAGGATCTTCTGGGGAAACAAATGAATAACCCCCAAGTGGCGATGTACCAGTCCCGCTTCCCAGAGCATGAGCTGGTGAAGGATGAGACAAGGCAGACCGTTATCTTCAAGCTGTCCCCGTAAGTGGCTGCTTTTGGGTTCTTTGTGGGAGGGACTTTGGCTGCCAGGCTTCTGCAGCTCACTGTTGATGCCGTAATTTTCTTTCCCATTGTAGAACAATACAGTATTCTCCCGAGGAAATGCTGGGGATGGTCCTGAACTATTCACGTGGTCTGGCTGAGGAATTTGCAGGTTGGAAGGATTTAGCTGTTTTTTTCAGTCTGTGTGTGTTCACGTGTGTGTTTATGGATTCAAGTAGATACCAAAGGTGTTTGGAAGCTTAGGGGTTTTTAGAAACAGGATGTTGAGTCTGTCCAGCTATAGGCTGTAAGCAAGACTATGCAGTTGTCATTTGTTTCTAATATGATGCAAGTTTGGGAACTTACTCCTGTTTCGGTGGGCAGGCACCCCAGTTTCCGCCCAGCCTTGTGGTGAAGGAGCCTGACAGGCAGTCTCTGGAGAAAAGTGAAGTGTTTCCTCTCTCAAAGAGTGCGATCAGAGCGGAGGCACGCAGGAAGGTAGCTGCAGGGGAGGGTGGAAGTGGCCCTGTGAAGGCTGTGCTATGTCTGCTCTGGATGGAGACTGCTGCTGGAGCTGAACTACAAATAAAGAACAAAAAAGGCTCTCTGCTGTGAAGCTTGCTAACAGAGAAGGGGCTGCCATACATATTTGTGCTGTGTTGCTAATGAAATACCACAGTAATGAAAACTGGGTAAATTATTAGGAGGCTGTGTCTTGTAGTCTGTGACACTACAGCCAGTCCAAGGACTTTTCACTGTAGAGTGAACATGATCCAGTGGTAATGTAAGGCTCTATGAAGATAATATTTGCCCAGAGCATTTGAGAGTATCTTGACCTGTGAAAGCGAGGTCAGTAGACACGTGGCTTTGTGAGAATGTGCCAGGTCTGCTTGGTTTCAGCAGGACACAGAGATTCATCCCTAGGCATCCTCCTGCTGCTGTAGGATTGCATCCTGTACAAGTCTTTACCTTGGGTCCTCTGGCTTTGCTGCTGTCACTCTGTCACAAGTTTTGCATGTGGCTGACTGATCACTAAACGTGCTCCATGCATCTCTTTCAGAGCAGCCCATCAAGGATGTGGTGATCACAGTTCCTGCCTACTTCAACCAGGCAGAGAGGAGGGCGGTTCTGCACGCTGCTCGCATGGCTGACCTCAAGGTGCTGCAGCTCATCAACGACAACACGGCTGTAGCACTCAACTATGGGGTCTTTAGGAGGAAAGACATCAATGCCACTGCACAGGTAGGTGCTGCTGGGAGATGCGGAGAGCCCTGTCGAGTGCCTGCACAGAGGGGAGAAAGTGCTGCAGAGAATATCCGAAGAACTTAAGGCAGACTCTGCTGGTCAACCAGTCTCCGCTGTTTTCACATGTTCATCAACAAGACAAAGAGGTTAAACCCTGTGTACATGTGTGGTGAAGCCTAAGAGCTTCTGGAGTGAGGGCAGGTGCTGGGAGTTCCTGTTTTGTAAAACCTTTGTTTGTTCCTTGCCCATGAACTAGGGGAAATAACAGTAATGATTACTTGAGTTTTTGAGACACCGACTCGGAAGTACTTGATTTTCCTGAGGTTGGAGAAACTTTTAAAGAGCAAAGATTTGGTTTTTGAGCTATGAAATAGATGAGAAAAGTTTCCTTGTCCTTTTCTGTCAAATGTGACTCTAAACATCTCCTGTGTTTGGTCTGAGTCTTGCCCTTACAGTGTAAAGCCCGTCCAGGAATGGATAGTCATGGCTTGTATCATGCTGAAATCCATGGGTTCTTCCCTTATCCGTGTGGGATATTCAGGTGTTTCTGATTCACCGTCCCAGCTTTTCTTTTCAGAATATCATGTTTTATGACATGGGAGCAGGAAGCACCATTTGTACTATTGTTACGTATCAGACAGTGAAAACTAAGGACTCGGGAACTCAACCTCAATTGCAGATCCAGGGCATTGGGTAAGAATTCTGCATGAGTTGCACAAACCCCACAGGTCTCAGGAAAGAAACCATTTGTTTCACAGTCTCTACGTGTAGAATTTTGCAATGAGGTTTCAGCACAGAAATTTGGGTGGTTGAGTGGAAAACATTTGGAGCAAGAAAGCCCCATTTGGGAATAATTCTTGTGTTGTGCAGAAGGTAACTGAGAACTTCCATGAGGCAAGGAGGGAACTAGTGTACTTAGTTTGCTTCAGGCTTGCTTTTTGATAGCCTCAAACCATGTAAGCCTGTTCCATTTCATGTGATCTTATAGAAGTACAGTGTGTCAGTTTGAAAAAGAGGAATATCCTTGTAGAGAGGAATGAATGCGTTGCCAAGCAAAGAGGGGGGTGCTCTGCATAGCCAGCCCAGCAATTTTAACTCCAAAGCATTTATATTGCTTTTCCAAGAAAATATCTGAGACAGTTGTCCTTTGGCTTCTTAGCTGTTTTATATGATTGGCAATAGGGCCTTTATCACAAATGTAATGAAATTTCCTGCTCAAAGGCTGTTGTGACGGCGAATCTTCTTGTTCATTCTTTCCTTCTAATGTGTTACTTTTGGGGCAGCCATTGTTCTTTCACAGTCAGTCACAGCTCATAATATTGCAGCTACTTTTGACCAATTGCTGCTTTGCATATTTGTGAAAT